CCAAAGGGCAGAGCAGCCTTCATCAAGAGAGGAAAATGATATCGCAACTTGCTCCACCAAGAATGTGTAGACAGCTACAAGCATTCTTGGGAGTGGCTGACTTCTGCCACCTGTGGATCCCCAATTTCGGGTTAATTGCTGAGCCTCTCTGTGACAAATTACAGGGGCCAGCACCTGCGCTGGCCTGACCACACCTGAGCAAACCATTTGACTTGCATATTCATGAAAGACAAGAAGTAGCTCTAAGAGCATGAACCCAAATGTTGGGACCCCTACAGAAAATGATAACCCATTTCTCAAAGCAGCTGGACACCGTGGCAAAAGATGGTCCCCATGGTTGAGAGCTCTGGCTGCCATCTGCAGGGTATGAACAACTTAAAGCCTGCCTGGTGACCCATAGACTTTCCTTAGACTAGTGGCAGAAAAATTCTGCCTCTCTAGTGGCCCCTCTGACAACGCCCATGCTCAGCAGGAAGTAGTTACAGAAGATGGACCTCTGCCCCCTGGCCCTCAGTAATGAGGAACAGGGTAAAACTAGAGGTGGGGTTTTGTCACCAGACATGGACCCTCACCTGCTTCTCTTGCCCTACTGAAAAACTTAGCTTTTATGTTTGACTTAATTCTCTTGTCTTCTTGAAGGCGTGGGTGTCCCTTCATCTAACACCTCGGGTCCTTGAGCTTATGCGGTTTTCAGCTATGTTCCAGGAAGAAGCGCTAAGTGACAACCACGCTGGACCCAGGTGCTCTGAAACAGCCCAGATCAGCCCAGACCACAACCACAAGACTGGCACCTATACAGACAGGCAGAGGCGTGTACCAAAGTAGCCTGCCTTCATTAATATCGTAACTTCCCCTCCTCTGGGAGAGGTGAAACAGCCATTTTTAGGTCATGTGATGTATGTAGAAGCATGATTTCCAACCACTCATGCAAACTTATGCCCACCTCTACGTGCAATGATGAAACTTCCCCTTTAAATATTCATTCCCCACCCCAAATAAAGATACCCACTGCCCTGTGCTCGGGGGACCATAGTTTTGTGGAATTATTCCCTGTGGTCTCCATTTCTTTGCTGCATGCTGCAAATAAAAAGTAGACTTTGTGGGACAACTACTTCTGGTGCAGTTCAATTTAATTCCCAAGAAGGGACCCGTGTTTGATCCTGTAATGTGTCTACAGAAATCTGTGGGGTGTATGGAACAAGTTCATTACTTTGCAAGTCCGCCATGCACATTATTCCGAGGCAAGTAAGGACTGACTCTAGCAGGTGATTTGTAATGTTACTGAAGTGAGGGGGGATTCTAGTGCAAAACACGTCACCATTTCTATTGGCCTCGTGACCACTGCTATGAATTTCATTTGTATCTACTTTTATTCCTTCCTTCCTGTTCCCAGGGCTCTGGCTCTGCACACTTGTTCTTTTCTGCAATGGTAAACAGGTTGACAGAGGGCCTGACAGCACTTTCTGAATGCAGAAGCGTGGCCAGCCTTCCATAGTTTAGGTTTATCCCACTGAGGTTTATAACAAAGCTGAACACATCACTCCCTGAGGCATCACCTTTCCCAACGTCATTCCCGCCATTTTTACATCCCCCGTGGGAGAAGGAGGACTCGTCCGCTCTTCCTTCAGTATTGTGGTTGGGCTGGTCCATAGCAGATGAGCCGAGGACCCGGCAATCTCCAGTTCTGTGCTCACTCAGCAGCAAGGACACGCAAGCCCCGTCCGCTGGAATAGCCGTGCTGTCATGTCCATCTGCCCCAGGATGCCTCATCTTTGAGAGGAGTAAAGGCAAGATCGTGACTGGGTTTGGCAGTTGTGAATTCCTCATTTGTAAATTAAGATCCTGGGGATGAAAATGAAGAAATGGAATCTGTAAGGAGCCATATGACCATAGCAGAGAACAAAATAGCTATGTTCCCATCACAGTGTTAAGTACCCAGTGTTCAATTCAAAAGAAGTTTGGGTGGATGCTTACTGCTTCTTGAAGAGGTATGGTCAATTGTAACCAAAATTTACTCTCAGTCTAAGGTAAACCGAACTTTAAAACTTTCATTTGCATAAACGTAAAATGTATTAGCTCTGAAGACTTTCTAGAAAAACAACCCATTCTCTTAATTGCAAGCATTAAAAACAAGAAGCTAGCCTTCTTTACCCCCACAGCTTGCACTTATCAACACACACCAAGCATGAGTGGTTGTGTTTGCTTGAGCGACTTCAACGTGAGCCAATGTCAGTGCCCTTGTCTCAGACTGGAGATGCTGTCTGGACCCTGAGTATTCATTTGACTAGGAATTGACGGTCTGCCAGGATTGTAAGCAGCTGCTATTTCATTTGTATCTACTAACCATATTTTATTTATTGAGGGAATTATTTTTTTCATTGTAAAAATACATGTATCTTTTTAACTTGAGACTTGTTTTTGTTTTAAGAGGGCATCTGCTACTTTGTTTAAATCTGGAAATAATTTCAGAAGTTAGTTGTCAGAATTTGTAGGCAGCCCTCATTCTCCCTTCCATTTGTCTGTCTGTCTTCCTCAACACTTTGGAAGCTGGGTGAGCAGTGAACCAGCATCTTCAGACGGAGGGCTCTGAGTCATAAAGCTAAAGTTTCCTGTGCAGAAGTAGATTTCCTACGATGTGAGTGAAGCTGAAACTTCAGGGCCTGTCACTTAGAGGGACTCTGCAAAGCCGTGAAAGATCCCCAAACAACACGTTCACTTGAATCTGTATATTTCTGAAAATTGAGTAATTTCACATTCTTTTTTCAAACCCCCCGCTTCCCTCCTCCCAGACACACACAATGGTCTAAGCTTGAAGTCCCACATAACCTGAGTCCACCTCTGCCCCTGTGGCCAGGTGGGTGAGCCCAGACCCCTGTGCCATTTTCCTCCTCTAACGCGGGCAGCCTACCCTGGCCTGCAAAGCTGAAGCTGGTCATACATTCTGTTTCTCTTGTTCCTTTCGCTGGAGCTGGTTAGGTTGACAGATCTATCGTATTCAGAGAGGGCCCCAGAAGAGTTATTAACAGTTTTTTAGTTTTCTCTGTGTATCACTCAGGGCTTCTCCAGAGAAGCAAACCAATAGGAGATTTATCTATCTATCTATCTATCTATCTATCTATCTATCTATCTGTCTATCTATCTATCTGTCTATCTATCCGTCCATCCATCCATCCATCCATCCATCTAATCTATCTAATCTATTTATCTATCTATCTTAAGGAATTGGCTCACACTATTATGGAGGCTAGCAAGTCTGAAATCTGCAGAGCTGATGTCGTAGGTTAAAGGCCATCAGGCAGGACAATTCTGTCTTACTTGGGGGAGGGTCAGACTTTTGTTCTATTCAGGCCTTCAACTAATTAGATGAGGCCCACCCACACTATGGGAGGCACTCCGATTTACTCAAGTATACTGATTTAAATGTTGATCTCATCCCAACACATTCTCACAGAAATACCCAGAATAATGTCTGGTCAAATATCTGGGCACCTCGTGGCTTAGTCAAGTTGATACACAAAATTAACCATCTCATTCTTTCTTTCTTTTTTTTTTTTTTTTTGAGGAAGATTAGCTCTGAGCTAACATCTGCTGGCAATCCTCCTCTTTTTGCTGAGGAAGACTGGCCTGAGCTAACATCCATGCCCATCTTCCTCTACTTTATATGTGGAACGCCTACCACAGCATGGCTTGTCAAGCAGTTTGTAGGTTCACACCTGGGATCTGAACTGGTGAACCCCGGGTCACCAAAGTGGAACGTGTGAACTTCACTGCTGTGCCACTGGGCTAGCCTCTAAGCATCTCATTCTGTCAGCTAGTGAGCTGTTGTTCCCATGACTGGCCTGTTTATATCTGCATTCATAATAATGCATTTTTTAAAAACTATAATTGCAATTCTATTTTAGCAAACATTATTTGAAAAGTTATTCTATCTCCTGTGAACAAAAGGTAGGGAAAAGGGGCTGGCCCCATGGCCGAGTCGTTAAGTTTGTCCACTCCGCTTTGGGGGCCTGGGATTTGCCAGTTTGGATCCTGGGTGACCTACACACCACTTATCAAGCCATGCTGAGGTGGCGTCTCACATAGAGGAACTAGAATGACCCACAACTAGGATATACAACTATGTACTGGGGCTTTGAGGAGAAAAAATAAAAGAGCAAGATTGGCAGTAGATATTAGCTCACGGCCAATCTTCCTCACCACAAAAAAAAAAAAAAAAGTGGAGAATAGAGTACAGGGGAAAAATAGGGTCTTATCTTTGAGGAATTTGTCCTGTAGGTATAACCCTGTGAATAACCTCTTCATTGAAACAACTCCAGGAGAATTCCAAGGGAAGGCAATGATTTAGTTCAGCTTAATAATGCAGAAATTCCAAAGGGTCTTAAAGGGAAGCAGAGCTCTTTCTAGAAGGAAATACTCAGGAAAGACTTCAGGTGAGTTTTGAAGCTAAATTATTAACAAAAGAAAAATAAGCAGTTGACTTGATGGAACCAGAGGGGGGAATTCCTGTGAGACTCGAACATCTGTCGGGATGTCCAGAGCACGGTATGTGGCTTGGTTGATTGAAGGGGGGGCCATCAAGGCTGGAGAAGCGGCTCTATGGGCCGTGGATCGGCACCTGGGAGTTCAGCGTAGTTCCTGTGGGGTTTTGAACCAGGCGGGCGGCTTCTCACAACAGAGAGCTGATAGTTATTGAGACTTCCAACTGAATACATGGTCCAGGAGCTTTCTACAATAAACAGAATTTTCAAGGCAGTATTTTTTTGCTCTTTTAATAACCTAAGAGGGGCCGGCCCCGTGGCTGAGTGGTTAAGTTCTCGCACTCCACTTCAGCGGCCCAGGGTTTCACTGGTTCGGATCCTGCGCACGACATGGCACCGCTCATCAGGCCACACTGAGGCGGCGTCCCACATGCCACAACTAGAAGAACCCACAACTAAAAAAAAAACATGCAACTATATACTGAGGGGATTTGGGGAGAAAAAGCAGGAAAAAAAAAAAAAAAGATTGGCAACAGTTGTTAGCTCAGGTGCCGATCTTAAAAAAAACCAAAAAACAAAAAACCTAAGAGAGTTGTTCTTCCTTATAACATTAGCCTATGTCTGTCTTTGAAAACTATGAATTTTTTCCTGAGGCTAATTGGAAAATTGCTACATATAAAGTTAGTCATTTTGACCTTAAAATGCTTATGAACCTTACTTACATTATCATGCCTCCTGTTGTCTATAGTAACTGTGGATTTAAAAGTTTAATTTCCTTCCCTGTGTCAGTGGTTTTGAACTCTGCGTCAAGATAGTTCCGGGGCAGAAGAAGACAAGACTTGTGTCACAGGTTGGCTTTCTGTCTAAAAGGCGGTTGGAAGAAAGAGATTCCCTGATTTATTTTTTTTTAAAGAAAACCACTGCCATAGGTTAAAATTAATGGTTATACAGAAAATCAAAGCTAGATTAATAATGCTCAGAAATATGTGTGCATGCCTGTGTTTTGGGGGTGAGGGGAGAGAGAAGGAAAAGTCACGAACTAACCATCAACTTTGCGGGGGCTAGAGCAGAAAGCTAAGAAGTTAAAGTTTTAATTTTTCTCATTTCTATCGGCAACATGTTTTAGAACATTGAAAGCAAAAATTGGACCAGCTTTATTATTTAGTCTAGAATTTAGTTTTCATTATTATTTAGTTGATTATTTAGTCTAGAAAACACCGTTTCTTATGAAGAATAAGTATAGTTTATTTTATTCCTTTAGACAAGTCGACTGCTCCCCCAGGAGCTGGCAAACAGCGCTGTGGTGTGTGGACGCAAGGCTCTGCGTCGGAACCTCCTGGCTTTCTCTGCAAACCTCCCTGCCCTTTGGTTTGTATAGTTTAGAATGTCGTTTTGATTACTAGAAATCCATTTCAGGTACCCTAGAAGACTTAGTTGCCACATCATCCCTCCTCTCCTGCAAAAAGCAACAAAAAAACCCAAACTGCTTTCCATCGACATCAGTGGTTGTCGGGCAGCTGGTATTTTGCCCCCCAGGGGTCTTTGGCAGGGCCTGGAGAGGGTTCTGTGGGTCATATGGGGAGGGAGCGCTCCTGGCATCTGGAGGACAGAGGCCCGTGGGCGCGATGCACAGGCGCCTTGTCTTCCGCGAAGAATTGTCTGACCCCAAATGACAAGAGTTCCAAGGCTGAGAAACCCTGATCTGAGGAGACCTAGCCAGTCTCGTCTTGTGTTGGGTGTCTGTTTGGCTGTCCGTTGTCCAATGCATTCTTTACTTTTTGAAAAAAAAAGGCAGCGTCCGTGATCTCAGCAGAAAGACAGCCATGTGTGTTGTTTCCAAGGATGAGTCCTGCCCTCCTGCCCCGTCCTCTTAAAGTCATGCAATCAGATCGCTCCAGGTCTGCTTGTGAGAAACATGAACAGAACCCTTGTTTCCCTAAGCGGGAAGTACTGATTAAGGAATTTCTAAGTAGGGAGAAGAGCAGAGTCGTGAATACCCCAATAAATGGCAATTTGGGGTTTCCCGCTGTCCCTCTGTTGGCCTTTGCTGTGGGGTTGTTGGCAGTTCTCATCTGATCCTCAGTAAACATGACTGCCCTGATTCTTGGAAAAGCACAGACCAGTTTACAGTGAATTCCACCACCTGCTCCAGTGTGAACGCCGGCGCGGCCAGCAAGCTGTGTTCTTAGGGGATTCGAGGAGAGCCTTTGTGTTTGGTTCTCCCACAGATGGCAGATGAGTGTCATTCGGGGAGTGCCCAGTAAATATTGGTGATGGGCTGATGTCAGGCCTGGGTGAGTGTCTTCCCTGACTCTGTCATTCCTGTGACGGAGGCCATGATCAACCTTTTCTCCCCGTCCGCCCGGGCTACTCGAATAGAAGCTTAGGAACATAAGCAGTGAGCTTTTCATTTCTGAGCATTTGCAGGGAGAGAATGCTTAGAAAATTAAAAATTGTGCTTCTTCAAATTAACGAAAAGGGGTGTTCAAAACAGCCCACTGAGAACTATTTGTCTAACTCGAAGTTGCTTGACCCTGTTTTGACAGCACGTGTGCCCTCATCTCTGCCTCATGGTGAGAACTTTTCGTCAGCTCTTGCAAAACATTTTGACTACAGTGAAAGCTGATCCATCTTGTTGTGCTCACATGGATCGGGAGACAAAACCATGTGAAAATCTTGGTGCTGGAAAAGAAGCCCAGATGGATTGGGGTTTGCTTTTAATTCTGAGTTCTATCCATGTAGGTCACGGTGTATACACTGGAAATGCAAGCTGTTTTTAACCCCAAAAGGTGGTTTAAACGCATGTGCGATTTGCAGATCTGTTCCTCAACTTGTACAGTAGGGTTTTGAGTCTCAGTTCCAGAGAAGGGATGACAGGCAAGCCCTAGCCCGAGGAGCAGGAATGGGGTGGCAGGGGCGCCTGTCCCTTTTCACTTGGGGCCGCAGTGTGACGTGACCTCACCACTGTTGCCAGCCCTGGTACCGTAAAGGAATGACTGTCCAGAGATCATTGCTGGGTCCTTTGATCGAAAGGGCTGATCTAGAAGAAAGAAGTCCCAGTCAGCCCGAGGAATCAGGTAATCAGAGAAACCGTACAGGCAGTGGGATGCTCAGCTGCTGGCACGAAGGCAGAGTCCACTTGGGTAACAAAGCACCTTTTCCAGGTCATCCAGTAGGACTGTAGCAACCGGGACCAACACTGGGCCCATTATACGATCGGCTCTGTTCCTCGGGCTGGTTCTGCAGTTTGTATCCTCTGCTCTTTCCTGCATTGCATTTGACTGTTAGCCAGCTTGGAGCTTAACGCCTTCCAAAGATGTTGGTTTTCCTAAAGAGATGTTAACACACTCTACCTGGGCGACAGCAATTAAAAAGCAAGAGTGATAAGTACCCCTGTGTCCTTCATTCCCATTTAGACCTTGAAAAAATACTTTCCATTTTAATCATATCGTCGCTTGACTGAAGACTGGTGGCATTCCAGAATGGTGCTTCAGTTCTCAAACCCCTTACTGATGGGCGGGAGTCAGCAGCCAGAAATTACCAGTGACTTCCCCCGCCTTGGACTTCAGCTTGACTACGTGAAAGCGCTCAGCCCAGAGAGACACGTTGATGCTACGTTCTCACATTAATGAATCAGCCGGAGAAACTTGGGTAGATTCTCAGAGCTGGAGGTCTTGGGGTCATCGACGTTTTATGTTTGGAGAGGTCCAGGGCAAAGAGACAGAAGTAGCCCCCAATCGCTGTTAGACCTGGAGAGTCCAGGAGTTGATGCTACCTTCTTCCTTGAACTTGATACTGGACCTCTTAATCTCAAGTTCGTGTGCCCGAAGTATAGCAGGCCAAACGCTGAGACATCATCTGTGCTTGGAGTTGGAGAAAGGTTTATTTGCATTGGCCAAAAGGAGAAGGCAGGAGCCTGGGTTCCTCGCTCAAATGCCCCTCCCCAAGAATAGAAAGCAGGGGCTTTTATAAGAGTTAAGGGGTTTGGCGGGTGGAGCTTTGGAGAAACAAAGGGGTCACTCCCGATGAGCCCCTGGACAATCTGATGTTGGGGCTTCACCGACTGCTGAGGGCTGGCCATCTGGGGATCCCAGCCTCCCTGAAGGATTTCTCTTTCTTCCGCCAAACAAACTCACAACTCCTCAAGACCTGAGGCACCCCTCAAGCTAAACAAGTAAACAGCAAATCGACAAAATTCGTCTATTGTCTGTGCTGAGAACAAGGTCAAAAGGCAGTCATGTTCTTATTGAATATCTACAGTGACCCTCAGCTCACCAGCTTCAAACTCATGGCGGGACATGCAAATCTGCATCTTCCCTCCGTCCTGATTCTCGGCGGTATATGCCACAGATCTCAGGGGTTTGAGAAACGAATAAAACGCGCCTGTGTTTTCTTCTCAAACTGGGCATGAGTATGAGGCACCCTTCATACTGCATGTTTGTTTTTCTCCAAGAGCAGTGTTGGGGTTTTCTTCCTCATAAGCAGTTAAATAGCCCTCAGGCCAAAGGAGGGCCTCTGGACCCACTGTGGGATTGAGCCCCTGGGGGTTCTTAGCCTGGGGCTTCCGTGAGCTTGAGGAGGGCTTGTCATCTTACGAAGCTTTGTCCTACGTCTCCTCCTGGGTCAGGGCTCGAGGAGCGAGTCTCCTGCCGGGGTTGGTAATTGGCTGGTACTGAGACTTAGTCATCGGGGTACTCTGCCCATCTTTGTAGACAAAGGAGGGAAGAGGGAGTGGGAATGTCAGGCCTGCTGCTCTGCATCTCTGTTGCGTCGTGTGGGATGGAAAAGGAACTTCAAAGCATCAACCACTTCAAAACCCCAGATCAAGCTGAGCCTCCTCCTGGCAGCCCACTGACAGGCTGTTACTGCACGAAAACGCAGCTGACACTTTATTATTTTGGGGGGAGGGTGGCGGGATCCTGTTATTTCCCTTCTGAAGTGTAAAGGCTTCTTTTCTAGTGTGTCATCTTCACAAAAGACCACATGTTTTAAGATTCCATTTGTATGAAATGTCCCAAATAGGCAAACGCGCAGAGACAGAAAGCAGGTTCGTAGGTAGGAGACGTGACTGCCATTGCATGGGTTTCTTTTTGGGGTGATAACATCCTGGATGAGATAGTGGTGATGGCAGCACAAGGTAGCAAATACTCCACAAACACTGAATTGTGTCCTTTGAAATGGCGAATTTTATGTCCTGTGAACAATATCTCAATAAAAAAATGAATACATAGTATGTCATCTTAAGGTGAGGACCAGTGAAAACTGGTGTTGGGGTGACAGATCCACCAGAACTCTGGGTGATCACAACAGCCCTCCTGTTTGTTGTGCACCCCGTTGTTCCAGGGCCTGCCACGTGTTCACCCACTTAATCCTCACAGCGGTCCCCTGAGGTGGGTGCTGTCATTACCCACATTTTACCCACGAGGGAGCTGAGGCACAGGAGGACCTTGTTCAAGGTCACACAGCTGAGGCACGGCAGAGCCAACCCCCACCCTATGCAGTCTGGCTGCAGAATCTGCACCTGCACCCAGGGGCTGTGCTCCTGTCTGGGCTCTGCTAAGGTCACTGCAGGATTCTGACAACTATCCAGAGAGGCCTGTCTGTGAGCTCAGGGACCCAGGGTGGCCCCGGCTGAGCACTGGCACAGGCGTGGCCACAGCAAAGGCTGTTTGCACAAATGGATCGGCCCCCTGGCTGCCATGCCAGCTCTGCAGGTGACATCAGCCTGCTCCGGCCCCTGTTTGTTGGTACCTGGGGCGCTGGCGGCCTGTGCTGCAGATGGGTCCCTGCGGACGTCTCCTCCTTGCCGGTCGCCCCCCTCATGGTGGCTGCCACCCCGGCAGCTGTGTCTGCTTGTGAGCTCTGGTGAACGTGCACACGACTCCATCCAGCCCAGCTTTTCCATGGGAAACAGTGCCAGAGCAATTTGGCATAATGTTTTATGCTTTTAAAATCAGACATACTGATCTCTGAATGAAGGAAAAGCCAGTCACCTGGGGTGTCTTAAAATGAGCCTCACTCTAAGTCAATAATACATATAAATAATGATCTAGTTACTTTCCATTTTGTTGAACACTTAAAAAATACAATTTTAGTGTTCTAATTTATCTTGAGAACCTCCTTTTTTCCTAACAAGAGAAACATAGGTGCCTATTTGGCACCTGGAGCTCTCAGCCGTGTGGACTGAGAGGCAAGGTGGGGTCGTGGGTAAGGGCCTCTGTCTGGTTGGAAGCCGCGCCTGGCTGCTTGGCAGCCGTGTGCCCTTGGACAGGTTTACTGAGTGTCCCTGTGCTTCTTTTCCTGAAATGGGACAGTCCTGCCCCCTACCCCATAGCGGAAGGTGGGGGTTAAATGCCTAACAAGCACACAGCACCGGAGAGGAGCCAGCAGGAGGCACATGCTATGCCAGCTCTTCATGGTGAATCTGAGGGCCTCAGTCTGGAAAGTTAGCCGTAAAGCGGCAGCGGGAAGTCATACATTTGTATCGACCCTCCCCTGCTTCCGAGCAGCTTCCTTCACTGTCTCACTGGATTCCAGTATGGTCCCCAATCGACACGTGGGAAATGGAAAGTGGCAAGTGTGTTCGAGACCACACCCGGCATCGTTAACGTCTTAGCTGGGTCTGGAACTCCATTCTCCTTACTTTTAAACCAGTTGTATTTGTTTTTGAGAAGAATCTTTCGAGGTGATTTATCATTAATTTCTTAGTGAGAAATTGAAAAAAAAGGAAGATGTGTTTCAAGATTCAGAAATGCTTAACGATCCAACAACGGAGATGCGTTATTTGAACCACTGCCTGAGTCTGGAGCCTGGCTTCTTTTTAGTTCCACAGCTTCTAGCCCGTTCTGTTGTGTTTGTTCACGGGCTATAGGTTGTTGGAAGTAGAAGGGGTATTAGAGATAATCAATATTAACCCTCTATTAAATGAGGAAACATTTCCCGGGAGCTGGTGTGACTTTATTGAGCCTGTAAACAAGAAAATAGTTGAAACCCCAGAATCTGACATATTGGTCCAGTTCCCAGTCTGGCTGCCTCTCCCTTTTGACAGCTTGCCTTTCATGTGTAAAAGGATTCACTCCGAGTGCTCCTGGCAGGGGGTCTGCCTGCCATGCTTTATAAAGCCCGAGGTTCATGTGCACATAGTAGGTGCACAAATAGCCCTCCGCCCTCCTCTCTGGGATGACTGCTGAGCCCTCTCTCTCCTGCACCCAGCCCTTCTGTAGCATCTTTTCTGCCATCTCCGAGCAGATTTGCAAATGGTTAATTTCTGTGAATCCGTTTTCCCACTTGTGAAATAGGTACATGTCTGCCCATTTCATGAAGTCTGTAAGAGGATGAAATGAGCAAATGCCTGTATGTGCTTTAGCACCGTGCCTGGTGTGTAATCAGTATGGTTGGTGTGGTTCTCCTTCAGGATTGCTCTCTGGACTCATTTTAATGTGAATGGGAACCCTTGGTGGTGGCAGTGGGGACAAGAGGTTTGCTTGGGGCTCCAAGGCCTTAGGCTTGGGTCTCCAGAATGCCCCCTGCCTGGTTTACCCAACTTCCGTTCTCCGTCATCTCAAGCGAAGACGTCACTGGCCCCTTCTTGCGGAATCCCTAAAGTTGCTGGTTTGGCTGCTTCTCCGATTAGAAGGTGATGAAAGACGTAAGTTGTACTCATCCAGAAGGCTAAAGAGAATTGCACGTGCTCCTATTGCACCGAAACACCCCCAGGTGGACACTCAGTCTGTCCAGGACGGGTGGCAGGATCGGTTCCGCTTCCCTGGGCCGCACCCCTCTGGAGCACTGCCCTTCCACCAGGAGCCCGCCAGTGGGAAGGATGTGCGGGTCTCTGCTGAGTTCTCCACATTCTCTGGCCCAGCACACAGCTGTTTAGCACACAGGGCCCAGCACAGTCACAGAACTTTCTGCCCTCTGTTGACTGGTCGCTTGCTAGCCTGTGTCTCTGCAGACTGTAGCCCCACATCAGTAGACATGGTCTTGTTCGCTTCTGCATCTGTAGCTCCCAGCACAGGGCCCAGCACACAGTTGGTGCTCAATAGATGCTTTTAAAATAAACCACTGACTAGACAAACTTTAAAGCAAGGGAAGCGTCCGTGAACAAGAAGCGAAGGGTGAACCTTGTTGTCCTTTCCGGGCTTAGCAGGCTGGGCTCAGCATGACCTGGCCTCTGTGCACCGCCTGCTCTTCGCCCTCTGTGCGACCATGACTCTCCTTGCCTTCCATTTCCCGGTGCTCCTCATGTCCCTTCCCGCCACACAGGGCACACAGTACGGTTTGCCAGGTTGTGCAGTGCACAAGGCCACTCCACCGAAGGGTATGCGAGTGCTGCCCAGGACAAACCTCAGGAGAGCCACAAACACGAGCCGCATGGGTAATTTTAAATTTTCTCGTAGCCACGTGAAAAAAAAGTAAGAAGCAGCAAGTGGAAATTAAGAAAATATTTTATTTAATCCAATATATCCAAATTGTGCCCTTTCAACATGTAGTCAATATTGAAATAGTTGAGGTAGCCTATATATTTTTTCACATGAAATTTTCAAAATTCAGTGTATATTTTATATTTGCAGCACATCTCGACTTAGACTAGCCACATTTTAAGCGCTTAGTAGCCAACTGTGATGAGCTGCTATAACAGAGAGCAGCACAGAGTTGTGCCATTGGCATTCCAAATAATGTGGACCTGAATAAACAAGTTTTCTGGAAGTTGACAGTAAAAGGTCTTGTTCTACCCAAATCAGTAAATTATGACAATTTTCCTACAGAAGCAAAGGGTCTTGAGGAGGTACTGCCTTTTTCCTAATTTGCACATAGATACTCTGGGCCGGTGGTGGCCTTGCTACCACAGGGCTTTTGCACATGCTGTTCCCTCTCCTGGAAGTCCATCCCCATTTGACTGTCAGCATCTGCTTATGTTTCTATTAAGTGTCACTTCTTCCAGGAGGGCTTCATTCCATTTTCTCACAGACCCTTGTTCCTTTGCCTCATAGCACTTAATTGAATTTATAATGATATATTCCTGTGTAAGATTATTTGATCAAATTCTGTCTCCAACACAAAATGGTAAACTCTCGGAGGGCAAGTTGTCGTGTATTTTTGCTCCCCACGGAATCCCAGCCCTGAGCATGGCGCTGAATGCATGGAGGGGTCCCTAGGGATGCGCTGAGGCTCTGCCTGTGACCGCAGGCACCAGTGGCCACCAGCCCCGGCAGTTTCAGACGCTCATGTTCTTATGATCCCAGATACGTCTTATTCTCCGCCCCTGGGATCGGGCAGGAACTAGAATGTCACTCAGGGTCTCTCCAGGGAAGAAAGCTGACTGTCCCCTGTCTCAGGGCTCAGACATGTTTCCGGTGCAAAGTGTGTGAATGCGTCTCATCACTTCCCCCGAGTCTGTTCCCGGTGCCTCCGCCTTACATCCCTACAGAGCTGAGTGACCTTGAGTTTTGTCCTGGACGCACTCAGGAGATTTCATCATGAGTGGCCGCTTCAAAGCAAATATTTTAAAAGTGGGTTAGTTGGTATGAGGAGAGACGATGCACGTGGTAAGACGCTGCATTGTGAAACACACAGGGTTGTGCAAGTTCCTCTCTGAAATCTGGGGCTGCAAGCTGGGAAGTTTACTTAATTGCGTCATATGCTAACTTCTCCCTTCCCATCCTCCTAGTATCCCCACTACAAAGTAAAATCCACACATGGGGCCATTATGAATAAAAGCTATACAGTGAATTACGAGCACAAGGTAAAATGCTTACTCACCAATTAGCATTAATAATATGTATGTTACATTAAGTGTAGTAGTTAAGATTTGGAACTCTGATGACATCAGACTGCCTAGATTCAAATCCTGGCCTTGCCATTCATCCGCTGTATGACCTTGGACAAGTTACTTAACCTCTCTGGGGCGCTGTTTCCTCATCTGTAAAATGAAGTATTTAAAAAACAAAGAACCCACCTCATAAGTGTGTTGTGACACTTAGGAGAGCTTCTGACCATATGGTGCCTGCAGAACATTATGCCAGAAGTTGTGTTTATGTTCTTGAAGGAGTTTGCGCCTATATGGCATTAAAGAACTGGTTAAGGATGGACACTTCAGGTGGTTATGTGCAGACGCAGCCTTAATTTGAGAGGACACAGGGCCCAGCACCTGCTAATGTTTGCATCATTCCTTGAGTCTTCTTTGATGAGGCCTTACTGGAAAATTGTTTCCACAAAAGACCTTCCATGAATAAAGTGAGAGCAGGATTGCTGGCTGGGGCGTGTTGGGCTGGGTCTCACGGGGCCTCTTCCTGTGTTTGCAGTTTAGCATCTGTACCTCGTGTCGAATACGGAAAATAGTTAAGAGATAATAAGGCAATAAAAGTGTTTCCTCACTTGGGAAATGCGCAGTGCACACATTGGCCAGTTTATTCGAACCAGACTCTCGTGCCCGGAGGCTCATCCGGCTCAGCTGGGAGGTGGACGATGCCTCATTCGCGAGGGCCTTCTCCACCAGGCCCGGCAGGAGGCACAGGACGTGGTTCCTACGCAGTGAGATGGAAAGGGAGCTGCTGAAGGTGTCCCTGCTCGAGAGGGCGTCTTGTGCGGCTCTGCCGGGGTGCCCGCAGACCCCACCGGCAGAGACGCACACGCTGTGTGGAGGGGTTGGGCCTCCAGTGATGCGATGTTAACTCGTCTATGACACTTGGCAGTGGGGATGGTAGAAAAGACACAGACTTTAGCTCAGAGATCGCTGCGCTTAACGCTGGACCTTTAAATAAATTACATTATCTCTACAAGTTCTTCAAGTTTGGGGGCGTGCTGCCTTCCTGTTGAGGGCTGATGGGAAGAGGCCACTCCACAGGGTTGTCGTGAGGGTTAAGTTACGTGATGGCTTTAATGGAGGGAATGAACACGTAATTGCCTCTAATAGCTGTCATTTCCATGCGAAGTGGAGAGGTGAATCATGAAAGGAGAGGGCAGAAGTCCAGCGTGGGGCTGCCCCCTCGACCTGGAGCCCTGGAAGTCAGGAGAGAGCCTGCGTGGGGTAGCGGGGGAGAGAGTAGGCAAGGGAAAGGGCAGAGCATATGACGAGGGGAAAAGGACGCCGAACACAAATGCCACCGACTCTAAGCCTCAGACTTATCCTAATGCCTGGGTGATAAAATTAACAGAATGAGGATGATAACGTCATTATGTCAGTCACAATTAAAGCAGGAGAAAAAGAATGTACTGCGTATGTAGGAAGACCTTGGTATGTGACATGGCTACCATGTGTAATCCAGATGTTAATTTAAATTCACTTATTTATACACCTCTTTTGAGAGCTTTCTCAATGCCAGGCACCACTCAGAGTAGAGGGGGTACGTACAGAGTGACCACAACAGCCCCCTGCTGCCGGGGAGCTCACGAGCTAACAGGGCAGAGGGACAAAACCAATAAGGAAATAATAGACTATAGCAAGTGATGAATGTTAAGAGAAAAATAAAGTAGGTAGAGATACAGGCATGTGAGGGGTGTATTTTAGAGAGGGTGATGAGGGAAGTCCTCTCTGATAAGATAGCAACTAAATTAAAAAGAAAACTCTTCGTTTACTCATTTCATTCAACAAGCCTTTACTGATCCCCACCACGCGTCAGGTCGTTTGCTGGGAGCTGGGAACATAACAGTGGACAAGACTGATGAATGCCCTCCTCTCATGGAGCCTTCGTTCTTATGGGGGGCGGGAATAAATGTTTAAACAAGTGAGTGAGCAAGATAACTTCACAGAGTGTAAATGTGTACAGGCAATAGATGACGTCAATCGGAGAATATGAGAGGGAGGCTTGGGGGGCCCGGACAGGGGAAGTGGGTGGCCACGTGTAAGACAGAATTAAAATCTCCAGAGAACTTTGGCATATAAGTGTGCAATAAAAGTTGTAACTTATTCGTTACATATAATGTGTGTTTGTAGTCCTGGAACACCTTTATTACATCAGAATATGTTAATAAAAGTTTAGTCCCAATTAGTTTCTATGTGGATCAATATGAAAAAAAAATGGCTGGGTTATTTTATATATCTCTCTCTCTTTCTATCGCCCTCTTGATCAATCCCATCTTCCCCTCTTCACTGTCCCCCCACGACTTGAGCATTTTTGTTATCACCCATTTACAGTATTTAGAGGCCAGCATTCTGTACACACTCTACCTGTTTGAACCATGTCAGCTCACTGCCACTTTCTATGATCCAGCTAAATGGAGTATGCTTAATATTGTAGTGTAAGGCGTTCTCTTTATTTCTAGAATTATCTCGAGATCTCTGGCTATCCTCACTCTCCCACAACAAAGGCTCAATGTTGGTGTATTCAGATCTATTCTCTGATACCAGGACAATGTTTAAACAATTTCTTAAACCATCCCAAACACACTAAGCCTCCCCAGGTCTTTTCTGCAGGACGGATTCCTTCCACCCATCTTTGAAAGGGACTCAGTCTCTTCTTTAGAACGAATCAAGTGCTAGGACAGGGTCAGGGCTGAATGGGCCCGTCAGCTCCATGAAAGTGAGCTGGTAGCCGTCTTTACCTTCCACCTGGAAGCTCTCCCTGGATTCCCCTGCACATGCATTCATTCATTCCCTCATTCATTCATCCGTTACTCACTCAGTGGGTGCTACCAAGTGCCAGCTAAGCTCTGTGGATGCAAAGATAACGTTAATTCCTTTCCTTGAAGAGCTTACACTGTAGGGGCGTGAAGAAAACTAGTCAGTGGGTGGTTGTAATACGCTGAGATACCTGCTATAAAGAGGGTTTGTTAGTATATTAGGGAGCATGGAGAAGGGAGTGTCCACTCCATGTAAGGACATCAGGGAGGGATTTAGAAGAGGACGTTGGAGCTGAGCCCTGAAGGAAGTGTGGAGGCCAAGCAGAAAAGGCAGGAGGGGGAATGGCTTCAGGGCTTCGGAAATGTTTAGAATGAAGGGCATTTGAAGCAGCAAGAAGCAGGCGCAAGGTACGGAGGTATATGGTTCATGCTGGGGGCTCTCCGGGGTGGAGGGAGAACCGGAGAACAGCTGGGTCCAGGTCCAGACGGATTTGGGGTGCTCCAAGAAGAGGTCCAGACTGGGCTGTGTACACCCTGGCGTGCTAGTGGAGGGGTTCGAGCAGGTGAGTGACGCGATCAGCTCTGTCGGCTTTTAGAATAATCACTTTGGGATCCAGGTGGAGAATTGATAAGGGCCTGAGTTCGGACAGCTGTTGGGTGGATGGAGAAAAGATGGGTCTGAGAGGTGCTTCAGAGTAGAATGAACAGAACTTAATAACTAAGTAAATGTGGGGCGAGCACTGAGGAGCGATGTGGATGAAGAGAAGGTCGGTGCCATGAACTGAGTTCGGAGTACGCGGTGCTAGCTCTTTAGAAACAATGATCCAGATACAATAGTAGGCTGAAGAATGCTTTTTACAAAAAAGTACTTGTTTAATTGAATAAAATCATTCCCTTAAATACTTTTTAAATTTTTTGCAAGTGTTGCCTTTTAGATATTTAAATCCTTTGATGTCAGGGATATGTTTCAATAATTCTTTTGATCAAGTTTATCTCTGTAAGTTAATGGCGTTTGACCCAGGTTCGGCAGGGCCCTGAGGCTTCACTGGGAACAAGAAAGGCCTGAGCAGGCACAGCTCCAGACCACCTCTCTGCAGAGTCAACCGCAGCACGTCCCTCTCGTGTGTTCTAACACTGGGCTGAGGGTGGGAATTTCAGAAAGAGCTCTGGAGCTGTATGATCTCTGAAATCACAGTCCCATACCAGTAACTCGTGCAGTATGCTTTCTTCAGTGTCAGTGCTTGGCTGAAGGTCTGTGTTATAGAGTGTTTCTTTGTTTTGTTTTTGTTTATTGTTTGTTTCTATCATAGAAAATGTAGATCATATCAGGGGACCCGTACTCATAAATCTAGTATATTATGCCTGGTCGTTTTTAACTGCAGATAACATTGTTTTAATTGCCACGTATTTCTTTTTCCTAATAAATGTACATCTCACCCGCAACGGCCTATGTTTCTCTTGATGATGGAATGAGAATCAAACATCTGCAGCTGGAACAGCCACCCGGCGTGTGTGTCAGTCTCAATGAGGTGAAAAGTGAAAGCCAGCCACACGTCAGCGGAGAATTAATGCAAGCTGTTGTTTCTGAGTTTTCCAAATATTTTCCAACTCCCATTGTGTGTTTTTGTGTTTTGTACTCAAACCTCCTGCCAAAACCTCCCCCAACAGCATTCCTGCCTGGGTTCCTAAATCATTTGGACAGCAAACAAAACTTCTCATAGGCCATTCATCTCAAGGAGGTATGTTTGTTAAATATGAGGAGATGGCTAGAACACACGCTTTTATGGCTTTAGGGTTCACAAATTCACTTTTTAAAAATAGGACATTTGCTAAAACTGAATTTGTATTTGCATCTCTAGGATAGTGTTCACATACTCAAAATATCTCTGAAACGAGAATCACGCCCGTGTGAACTTAGTATGCATAGATGTTGAGGAAAGGATGGCTAGAATAAGAGAGAATGGGAAGTTGGGTAACCTTAAATAGAAAGTACAAAGGTAGACACACATTGCTATTTTCCTGATCTCTGTGTGTATATATATATTTTTACTGCCTGTGGACAGACTATTCTTGGGGGAAGTCTCCTGCTTATTTCCCTTTTGTTGAATACCGTAAATTTTCAATATGCCTTTTCCCCCATGTAACGATCATTACATTCTCTAGATAATAGCCAGACAGTTTTCCCGTTTTCCGCCTGTATTTATGGGCTCTGTATTAAAATTGATTACCATAAATCATGTGTGTTAAGTACTACTCTCATTTTTCTTTCTTTTATTCCTGTGGCCAACGGAATGGCATAGATACGGATGCCTTTGTGCCCTAGGGAGACCGAAAGCAGAGGTTGTCCGTCTCTGCCAAGGAGATTGATGTCTCCGTCGATATCACCGTGGGACACATGGGGGAGGCCGCCTCTCTCCGGCCCCACAGCTCCTTCCTGACTATCAGCTCACCAGTGATTGCGGTTCCATTCCTTTCATTGTTACAGCAAGGGAATGTTAAGCTTTACTAACTCCTTATTCAAAACGCCCTTGAAAAAGACAATGAGGCGTCAGAAAATAATAGAATCTCGTTATAATTCCTCCACAGACCTTTCAGATGTCCTTGGAAAACACTATTGTATCTGACTCAGTTTCCCTCTCTCTCAGGAATAGCAGGTGTACAGGCATCTAAAGTCTGCCTGGATACCGAGGTGCCTCTGATATCTTGAATAGTCAACAGGAGTGAGATCTTTTCCGTAAAGTCCCTTTCACATTCCCTATTGTTTCCCTGAATTCAAGACATCTAATAAGAACCACGAACACCATAATTTAATGCCAGCTCTCTGTTTTGCGACAAGCCAGTTCCATCCTGGAGCGAAAAAAGCAGAGGGGGAGGCTGTGGTTCAAAATGGGAGGCAGTTCATTTCCTATTATTTGAAATCTACGTTCCATTTTTTTTCTTTGTGGATTTTTAAACTAGGGGTCTGTTTTGTTTCCATATTCATAAAGAACATGAAAAGATTTGGAAGGAAAAAGGAAAACATCCCTGAAGACCCTCCTGCAGGTATTTTAAACCGCTTTAGTGTGCACGGATAAAAATCTATCGCAGTTGGTGTGTGGGATCTTGATTTTTGTAGTTATGAATTATTTAAACCAAGTTTATGTGACGTAAAGAACAATTGTCTAAAAATACAAATGATCGTTCTCTTCCTTTTGTGTTGTAAACTCCTTGGTGCTGCAGAGGTCATGAAGGAATACTTTCTTCCCTATCAGCTTAGCTCCCAGCCTTGCTTTCTGGCTTTGGCTGAGAATTTGGGCTGAGATCAGCAGAGTCAACCACTGAGTTTCCCCAGGTTCATGGAGACGGGTGTCACATGCAGCAAAACAATGACCTGTGTACCCCCAGCCTTCAGGTCGGCCTCTATGACGTTTGGCCTGATTCTCGTTTCAACAAATGTCTAAAATTATAGCATCTAATTGATCGCTTTCCACAAGGGGAACAGCATAGGAAAATGGCCCCAGGCTCTGAAAGCTGCTGGAACTTTCGCTTTGGTTAGCTTTTTTCTATTTTAGGGTCCAGCTTAGCTCTGTGCTAGTAGTACCTTTTTTTGCTTTTCCATTCTAAAATAACTCAGTATACCTGTGAGCTAATTAACAGGCCATTCGAATTTCTTGACCTTCCATAGAGAAGACTTGTGGGGTGGAATGAACCCAGAGTAATGTCTCTCATCTCTTTTTCTCTCTCTGTCTCCGTGGGCTCGAGTGATAAATAGTAAATCCTACACTGCATTCAAAAGAATAACTTGAAAAATATACAATGGGGAGATTTGATTTGATGAGATTTTGATGTGGACAAGTTCCCTGGGGATGACAGTCAGTTACAGGCCAGGCGTGAGGGAGCAGTGGGGTTGCTCTCAGTCCTGCAGGGGTGGTTTCGGGGCGCAGCTAGGGAAGTGTCCTACAGTCATGGGACAGCCTCATGGCATCCTCAGGCCTGTGAGAGTGTCTTTGTTTCCAGCCCTATGTTTCAAATGGGATTTGCCCAAACCAAAAAAAAGAAAGCCCTGGAAAGAGTGACCAGGATAACTAGATCTCGAAATAGTGGCACTTAAGTGATGAGTGAGGAGCCAGGAAGGGTACGACTTAGGATGGCACATCACTACTCTTCCGGGTGTTGGAAGGTGAGAAAGAGGGGTGACGTGTCTACACCGTGGCTTCAGAGAGTGGAGTTCCGGCCAGCAGGTGGAATTATGGAAAAGTCTATTTCAGCTTAAGCGAAGGAAGCCACTTCGAATGGTCCGAGCTCTCTGAAGTGGGAGTGGAGTGCTACAGGGTGTGGAGAGCCACTGTCGCTGGGGGTGAGCAGAGAGGGTGGCTGCTCCGCTTGGGGGAATGTGGTAGGGACTGGACTGGACCGTCTCTGTGGAGCCTTTCAACACAAAGATCCTCTGATTCTGACAGTAAACGTGAATTCTCTCCGTCTCTAATTGTGCGAGGATTCACCCGTAATGGGCTCTCTACAAAAACAGAGTGGAAATGTGCCTGAGGGAGGCACCGTGGGCTGGCTGGCTTTACTATTTATGGGACGATATACCTAACTTCTCAATGTTGACGTGTGTGGAATGCAGTAGAACACATCTCATAGGGTTGTTATAAGGATTGAATAAGGTAATATATGGAAAGACATTAGACCAGGACATAACTTGTGCCAGGGCTTGCTTGTCAGGAGGTTGAATATGCATATAGGGTTGAGAAGTAGATATAAATATATATATATACAGCTGTTATCATCATCAGCTGGAGACTTGTATGTACTACATCAACAGTATCTTAACCGAATTCAGGTAACCGCGTATTCATGTTGTGGAGTCCTGTTGAGTGAGATTCTGCTGGAAGGCTGGTCCAACTTAATCCTCAGCTGTTTATGACTGAATGCAGAATGACTAACTGAAGAGTGTTTGTACTGCTAGTGGACAATGACTGTTCTGATTTGAAAAATACCAAAATGCATGATATTCTTATTCAACCAATTGCTTTCACAATGAGCCTATAAACAGTTTAGTTAACATTTCTAGGTCTCATCTAAAATATCAAGTTTTCCAATTTACTCATGCTGGCTGGACTCCCAATTATTATTCTAGTAACAAAACTGGGGCCATTTCAGGAAATCAGTGTGAAGGGACTCTCCCTGAATTTTAACATAAGTAAATAAATAGTTTCTAGTTTTAGACGTAGATGAATTAGTGTGTTTAGTGCAAGCGTGCACTGCAAGCATTATCTAGCAGAGGGAGAAAGGGACATTTTGGATCAAGGGGAACACAATAGCATGGGTAATGTTATTAACTGCACATTTCCCCCCTCCCTTAGTAATGTTTAACAAGGCTTTATCGATGACAATAGCCTTGATTTGTACATGGGAAGAGAAGATTACATTGTGGGCACCAGACCAATCCTGTATACAGCATCTACAAACCACAGACTTCATTAATAATTGATTATGGGGGATTGGACAAACCCACACTGGCCTGTCTTTGCCAGCACGCTTCCTCGCAATACGCGGTCTTATTTATGAATAATTGTAGGGTCCTGGTTCTCCAAGGGGCCGTAGACTGGAAGGCAGAGTACTCAATCAGTGGCACAGCCAGTCAGGGTTCTGACTCTTTTTGCAAAGCCTTTTACACTAGATGCATGTGGAATCTTCATCAACAGCGTCTGGACCTGGGTTGCAGATGTAAAAACCTGACAGCTCAATAATAGAAGACATTTCTGCAGGTGCAGAGTGACCTTCAGACACTCCTAGCTGCTGCTTCTATGCAGCTTCCCCAGGAGGCTGCAGCTGTATGTCAGAGACCGTGAAGATTGGGTTCAGAAAGTGTTAGGTGAGACACACACAGTCCCTGGTGGGGAGAGCAAGGTCTCGGGTAGCCCAGTTCACAGTCTAGAACTCTATCTAACATTGCGTGACATACTCACCTGGAAACTGCAGTCTGACAGCTCACTAGCACCCAGGATGTCGGGTAGGATCAGCAGATCAGGATTAGCCAGATGTCTGGCTTGCTCTCCTTCTAACAGTCTGCCTGCTCACCTATGCAGAAGGCCACAGGTGAGCCCCAGCAGCCTGGGGGCTCTCTCCTAGCTCTGTCCACTTCCTTCCATCTGGCATCTCTTTTTTTTTAAGGTAGGCATTTTTTTTTTTTTTTTGGTGAGGAAGATTGGCCCTGAGCTAATATCTGTTGCCAGTCTTCCTCTTATTTTTTTCTCCCCAAAGCCCCAGTACATAGTTGCAGATCCTAGTTGTAGGTCATTCTAGTTCTTCTATGTGGGACGCCACCACAGCATGGCTTGATGAGTGGTGTGTAGGTCCACACCCAGGATCCGAACTGACAAACTCTGGGCCTCCGAAGAGCAGTGCACAAACTTAACCGCTCGACCACAGGGCTGGTCCCTGGCATCTCTGATGTCTAACCTCTTGCCTTGGCTATTTAAGGGTCATGTTTCTGCCTTACCCATTGCAGTTGCTGTGTCACGTGGATGCCTGCTTGGTCTTTAGTTTGGCCCTGGTCATCCTCAGCTCCGTGATTTATGGTCCAGTGCCAGGTCACTCCTGGCCCTGCCTGGCCTGTGTCTGGCCACCCAGTCTCTCATTTGTCTAGGAGGGGAGTCAGACATTCAATCCCTGGATCGCCAGTTGTGTGAATTTGTTGTAACCTACTGCCTGAGGCTGGGGCTGGGGCTGGGGCTATGGCTGGAACATTGTCCCTAGGATGCTGTGGCATTCCTTGCCTGGGGTCCACCTTCAACCCTAGCTGATTCCTCACACAGCTGAGTTCTCTAAGCTCAAGGGAGCACAGATAGCGGCCACTGCCAGCCAGAGATGAGGATGGAACACGTGCTGCCAGGGTCTTACCAGCACCTTCTAGTTATAGGGCAGCTGACTGCCCACAAAACGCCATGGCTCAGTCCGGCAAGAGATGGCCAACAATACCGGCCATAGGCTCCATCAGGGTGTGCATGGATGCACGGCCATGGCATGAAGCCCTGAAATAAAACTAGAATGCAAACTGGGACCACAAGTAAAGCCCTGGGAAGACCTCCAGAAAACATTGGAGAGAGTGACCCAGCGCCCTGAGCATCCCAGTCTATCCAAAGCTCACATTCTAAGCATAAAATCTCCTCTTGACTCCTTTTCCCACCATCATAGGCACAGTGATTCTCTGCTCCTTCTCGCCTCACAGGGGGACTTCTTGCTGGTGTAAGTGCCCCCAGCCTTCTGACGCCCACAGTAGGGGCCCATTGCCATTCTGGGTGGCCAGCCTCTGCTGGGTAAGGGTCCCTTTTTCATTGTTTAGCCCTTGGAGGTTCCCCCACCTCACTGGCTTGTGTCCTGATCAAGCCCCAGTTCTCGGCCTCAGGAAGAAATGTGTCCCATGGCACTAAGGTGCTAGACTTGGGTGGCATCATCAACCCAGGGCTGGTCAGTCAGACTGCTTTCCACCTCTTGGGGGGCATGGACTCCATGATCTCCTGCTTGAGGGAGCCAGTAGTCTGTGGGAAGACCATGTTGCAGTGTTTCATCACGGGCTGCCCATGCCTCTTTCTGGTCCCTCCAGTGACCCAGCTGCCTTGTGGAGAACCATACTGTCACCTGTTGTCATCGACAGCTTCTGTCTCCAGTCAGCTTCCACTCTCGTGGAAGCCATTAGGCCAGGGATTCCAGTCATCCATGTTCCCTTGTAGGAAAGCGTTTCCCGTTGTAGAGGAAGAAAAATCGACCCGTTGTCTGGAATGCTATTGTGAAATCACACTGGTGCCACGGCCTGTTTTTCTGGTAAGTGATATGCTCTTCTGGTCTGATATTGACGCCCTCCATAAATACATGGATGGCAGCTCGGGGAGAGGTCCATCAGGCTCTCCATCTCACAGAGCCAACATGTGACCCTGTGAGGTTGCTTGTCCTTGACTGTCTTAAGCCTAATGTTTGGCATGTGACCTCCTAGTCTGGAGGCCGTGGTGGCCCTGGGAGCCCCTTCCTAAAGTCTCACAAGCTCGGGTCACATAGTCTCTGTCAGCCATTGCTGGGGTTGGCAAACTTTTTCTGTAAAGAGCCAGATAGTAAATATTTTAGGCTTTATGGGCCATAATGTCTCTCTTGCAATATTCAATTCTGATGTTGTAGGGCAAAAGGAGGCTTCGGGAATATGTAAATGATAGGTGGAGCTATGTTCCCCAAAACTTGTTTACAAAATCAGGTGGTGAGCCGTAGTTTACAGAACCCTGAGATGTTACAATACCCCTTCCAGGTAGTGTGCTAGTCAGACTCGAGTAGAATTTGGGGGCCATATTTTGTAAAATTAAGCAGGCCATAGAGTGGCAGACAGAATGTCAGCTGTTCTAGAATGGCACACCTGCCAAGGTCAATCAAAGATATCCAATATTTTCTGGAGTTCGTCCCTTTGTTTCTGTGCCTTAAGGACCCTGGTTCCCTCTCTCCCTTTCTCCTCGTCTCTGTTTAAAAACCGGTTACTCTGGGAGGCCCTCACTGATTCAGACTCCAGACCAGACTAGCTCGTCTTGCTGTATGTCACCTGTAAGGTATATAAGAGCAGGGCCGTGGTCTTTCCCCAGCACAGCACTGGGCTCATGGTAGGGCTCCATTTATGTTTTCATTTTTTACAGTTCTTCAGTTGAACTCATTCCTCGTGCGTGCTTCTCACAAAAGATGGCCCCAGTGGATGTGAACCGTTTTCCTTTGCAGTGGCACCACCTGGTCATAGCTGCCCTCGAGGTCTGGGCACCCTGCCTGATAGCGAGTGGGCATTGAGGGCCGGGACTCTCAACAGACGCAGAATCCGAGTCTACGTAGTCTCACCTTCTTTTCTGTTTTATTTTATTTTATTTTATTTTTTAATTTTATTGAGATCACATTGGTTTATAACATTGAGTAAATTTCAGGTGTGCATCATTATCTTTCAGCTTCCCTATAGACTGCAGTCTTTTCACCGCCAAAAGTCTGGTTTCCGCCCGTCACCATACACATTTGCCCTTTTACCCCTTTCACCCTTCCCCTACCCTCTTCCTCTCTGGTAACCACCAATCTGTTCTCCTTATCTTGGTGTTTGTTTGTTTATCTTCCACATATGTGGAATCACATGATATTTGTGTTTCTTTGACTTATCTCACTTAGCACAATACCCTCAATGTCCCTCCATGATGTAGCAAAGGCACAATTTTGTCTGTTTCTATGGCTGAGTAGTATTCTATTGTGTGTATACACCACATCCTCTTTATCCATTCATCCACTGATGGCACTCAGGTTGCTTCCAAGTCTTGGCTATTGTGAATAATGCTGCGATGAACATAGGGGTGCATGTATCTTTTCAAATTAGTGTTTTCATGTTCTTTGGATAAATACCCAGAAGTGGAATAGCTGGATCATATGGTGGTTCTAGTCTTAATCTTTTGAGGAATCTCCATACTGTTTTCCATAGTGGCTGCACCAGTTTACATTCCCACCAGCACTGTGTGAGGATTCCCTTTTCTCCACATCCTCTTCAACATTTGTTGTTTTTTTTCTCGGTAATTATAGCCATTCTGATGGGTGTGAGGTGATATCTCATTGTAGTTTGGATTCCCATTTCCCTAATCATCAGTGATGTTGAACATCTTTTCATGTGCCTGTTGGCCATCCTCTTTGGAAAAATGTCTGTTGATATCCTCTGCCCATTTTTTGATAGGGTTGTTTGTTTTTTTGTTGTTGAGTTGTATCAGTTCTTTATATATTTTGGATATTAATCCCTTATCAGATAGATGATTTGCAAATATTTTCTCCCAGTTGGTGCCACCTTTTTTTTTTGGAATGCTTAGAGTTTTCATTTCTTATTTGTTAGGCAGTGAAACCACAGAAATCACCTCTCTCGGAAGGCCAAGCATGGAGAAGAATTCTCCAGCTGAGACTTTTGTGGTCGTCTGGCTCTGTTTACAACCGACAGAGGTGAGCCAACATGGCCACAGGCTGACGTCTGCATAATCCAGGCTGCTGAGAGGTCCAGGTCTCGGAGGTAGCTATGAGAAGGGCAGAGTGCCAAGGGAGCTGGCTCCATGAGAGTGGGAAGCTGGGGAGTCAGCCTGGCCTCAGGTCATTCCCACCTCCCTGAGGTCTGCCCAGCTACTACTTTTCTGGGAGGACAATTTAGAAATGACACACCCGAATCTGATCTACGAGTTGACTCTTGAGCTGGGCCAAGGAGAAGCTGTGTAAGTCTGGTTATTCTTTGTGGTCTGGCAGCTTCAGAAGTATGATAGTCCATTTTGTTCCCTATGCCATTGGTGTTCACTTGATGAATGGAATGTCAGCCTCGGCATAAAATACTATGGTAACAGCATTAGAAAACACACTCTATCATATGATTTTAGCTTTCAGCTCTATGTGAAATGTCTGGCATTCATTTGGAGAGAAATGTCAGCTCAGACGCATACCTTGTATTGTCTATTGCAAAGCCATGGAAAATGGAGTAGAGCTTTGTAAGACCTGAAGCTTGAGTGAACATAGTTAATAAGAGAAACAATGGGAGTAGGAGTGGCGGGGTTATCTTTCTTTGTTTTAGAGATTGGCCCTGAGCTAACGTCTGTTGCCAATCCTTTTTTTTTTTCTTCTTTTTCTCCCTGAAGCCCCTCAATATATAGTTGTATATATTCTAGTTGTAGGTCCTTCTGGTTCTTCCGTGTGGGACACCACCTCAGCATGGCTGGATGAGTGGTGCTAGGTGCACACTGGGGCCCAAACCCGTGAAACCCTGGACCGCCAGAGTAGAGCGTGCGAGCTTAACTGCTGAGCCAACGAGGCTGGCCCAGTGGGGTTGTCTTTTCAGGCAAGATTTTGGCAGATAGATCCTCTACTTGTATTAGCAAAGCAGAAATGGAAACCACCAGCCCCAGCTCAGAAACAGAAAGTTCTTGAGAAGCAACCTTGGCCCCTAGATTACCAAGTTAGACTTGGTTGCCAAGATTGTGTTTTAATGACGCCTGCTAGTACCCTGTCTTTTCCTCTGGTACCAACACCACTGAGGTCTTCACAGAGCCAGCGGAAACAGGCTTTTCTGGAAATCTTCACACAGCTGTGCTTTCTAAGGTGACTTCCTTGCTCCTTTATCCTTTAGCCCACGGAGGTTTACATTTGCCTTATTCTCTTTTATCATGTCTTTTAGTCTGAAAAGTTTCTATTTATTTTGCAAGTACTTTTAAATCGAATGCTTATTTAATTATTTTCTCATTTATAAAGCAGGCCCCAGTTGAATGAGGATGCTATGATTGAAAAGGACGATTGAGAATATTTAAATTACTTTCAGAGGATTTATACAAGAGCAAGATTGGAAGAAAACCCAGAAACTTTCTAATTTAAAATTGTTTTGTTCTTCTAATAAATATTTCTTTGATTAAACAGATCCATTGGCAAAGGCCTGAAATCATGGTTGAGAGTGTTATTTTGCTGAAAAATTGAATCAAGAAACACTCATGGGACAACAGCCACCAGGGGTAGGGTTCTGGAGGTGGATGATTCCTGAGGCTGTGTTGAATGCTTGGTACGAGAAGAGACTGGAAAACACCCGTGGGCAAAGGGGTCGCTGGAGGATGTCCCACCTGGAAATGCTTCGGCTTTGAAAGAACTCCAGAAGGAAAGCGGTCTGGAAGTGTGGTCTCGGGCAATCAGGGGCCTCAGAGATGGGAGAGTGATGTTTCTTATTCCCCAGGCTGAGGGGGAGCACAGCTCATCTAGAAAACTCTGATAAACTACCACCAGATGACGCTGTTTCCTCATTAGGCCAGTGGGACCTGTCACCCAGAGGCCCCACAAGGCAGAGGCAGGAGTGCGGCCTTGGCCTGGGGTCTCGTTCCAGCTCTGCCGCTCAGCAGACGGAGGCCTGGAAGGAGCAGACCAACAAGGAAATCCTGGAATGGGTGATGGCTGAAGCCTCTCCAGTTACTTTTTAAAGAGTTTTATTTTTCAAATTCAAGCCTTAGTGATGCCTTTTATGTAAACATAGTCTGTGTACAAACATATCCATTTTTATTTAACTAAATCTCCTTTAGATACTTAAATTCTGTAAAGACACAGGCGGAGATCCAATGGACAATGGCACACCTGGTACATTGGTGTCCCTCCTGAGCCCAAGCAGCGTCCCCATGTGAAGTCTTATTTGTGCTCTCAAAGAATCGTAGAGTAGGAAGAATCTTAGAGGGGGTACAGTTCGGTCCTCTACGTTTCCTATCTTATATCAAAGCATAAGCTTCTCCAGGGGGTGGGGAGAATCTTATTTTTTCCTGTTGTGGCTCCTTTTTAGGGGCAGTGGTTCTAGAACCATGTACTTATGTTCTGGGTCAGCTCTGCGTTCCATCCTCCTGTGCAATCTGTTAGACATGACACAGGGGTTCTGCAGCTCTGTGAAAACTTCCTGGATTACTGAACGAATGAATGACAGAACATTTAGCCTTCAGGTTTGAGGTCCTGGTCTTGCCTTCTCTTTATAAAGCAGAACTCTGCTCTCTGTTTGCTCCAGATGTTTTCAGTTTTATGGGAATTAAACTCCAAGGCAAGAATATAGTGGCAGATCCAGTGCCCAAACTGTGCCCATTCCTGCCCCCAACACGGAGGAAGTACCGGGTTCCATGCCTCTGCTTCGTGCTGACCGTTAGTGGAGCCCGGACCATTTTAGCACAAAGAAACGCTCACGATTTTCCCAGTGAGTCTTGAAGGTCATTTGTCTGCTGCTCCTCACAGTAATCATAACAACCGTTTATTCCTTGTAAACAAAACAGCACAGCCTTAACCTACACCACCGTAAAAACATTATCCCGGTAGGACAAGAGAGTTGCTGACTGTTAAAAAGAATTGGCAAGAAAGGTGAAAAAGAAACAAGTCTTGAAAACTAAAATATTTTCATCTGTATCTTACAAATGTGGTGACATATATTTCTACCTGAAAAAGGTGATGGACTTCAATTTTGTCCTTTCCCTTTGCTTACCCTATGGAGGACAATTTTCAGTGAATATTCAAGTTCTCTTGCTTTAAGAAGAAAACAAGAATGGCAATGACCCCTGCATGCACTGATGACCGAGCAAGTTCTCTCCCTGGACCAGTTCCACCCCAGTGTTCACAGTTAACAAGGTTTCATTAGAGCTGCAAAAAAATGTGCCTTTGCTTCCAGACGCGAGCAGCGGAGCTCTGTTGGGGCCTCAGCAGGGAACAGATTTCCCTTTTCATCTTTTCGCTTCCCTGGTGTGGGAGCTTGTCTTTTGAAATAGTGGCAATCAGAACAAATTACCTAAAGTGTGGGGAATGAAAAGATTTCACAGTCGTGGTGGGTATATTTTAGTTTTCTTTAACAATTGGTACCTTCCCCTAATGATTGAAAATGATCCAAGAAATCTGTGTCCTCCTGCCAAGGCTTTTGTGAGAGTGTGAGCTGGAGAGAGCTCTTTGGTGACAGATTGTTTCAGCCAGTGCTCAGGAGCTCCTGAAAACCAGCAGCCTGCCTTGTTGCCTGGTTCCCTCCCTTGACAGGGACCAAGAGGTTTGGGGACAATTGCTGCTCTGGTTGGGAGAGTCGGAGCCTGGAAGAGGGGAGGGTTTTGCGGCTGGTGTTCGGCTCACATTCCAGATGCAGAGTTTGGCATGGTCCTTGTGTCCCTTGTAGTCTTGAGAAGAAGACAAAGAATGGGCTGCTCAGCATCTACCCTCGAGTTTTCCTTGATGTCCCAGTCCCATTAGGACCCTGGTTATTGGCAGGAAGGAACCTCATGCACCTCTGAAACACCGTGGGTGGGCTGCACCCGCTATTTCATCCCTCACACCCCACCAGCCCAGGTGTGCTGGAAAATGAGTTCACTTCCAGAGGTTCAGGGCAATGGAGAACGTGCCTGAGTCCTCCAGGACTAGGTAGGGGTTGGACCTCTGAGAGGAGACCTTGCAGGCTTAGGATGGGAGGCTATGGCATTCCTGGGGGACGCCTGGAGAGAACACTTGCCCCTTCAGGTGTCATTTCTGGAGCTTTCTACTTGATGAGTTAGAAACAAGTGGAAATAAGAACAGCCAGCTATTTGAAAGGTTACCTCCTGGACAAACCAGTGCTGCCCAGGCTTCACTGAGAAGGCTGTAGGAAGAGTGCTGGAGCGAGGTGTCAGGGGAAGGTCTTTGGGCAAGAGGCTGTGTCACTCCTGGAAGGTCGTGTGGAGAGGAGCTAGCATCCGTTGCCTTGGACGTGTTCCCGTTAACTGAACGAATAAATGGGCAGAGGTTGGAAGGGCCCTCACTAGGACCAAAGAGCCTCATCTTATCCAAGACTAAGGTCCTCGTGGATCGGCCAGATGTGCAAAGTCTGGGGAGACTTCAAGAGGGGATAAAGGCTCAGTGTGTGTAGTGGGAGGGATTTAGACAAGAAGAAATTTTCAACAGCAACTCAAGAAAGTGTATATGACATCACTGCTTTCTCTGGGTAAGGACATGAGTACGCTAAGCAAAGCGGACATAGCAGCCCCAGATCCATGTGTGTCTGGGTGGGAATCTGCAGGTCATCTCTGCAGATGGGTTTAATCAAAAGCAGGCATCAGGGGGCTGGGAGAGGGTGGGGTCTGAGAACAACCCTCAGTCTTCAGTGGCTGACAGACTGGGTGCTTGCCAGCAAGCTCAGTCATCAGAGACTGAGCGTGGGGTGCAAAGCCCAGCCACTGGTGGCTGTGGACTCCAAGGTCAGAGCAAGACCAATTTTATCAAGATTACTAGACCAATTTCAAGATAAGGCCCAATGACCTCTCTTCTCCTTTGGGACAATGTAGAACTTCTATTTATTCTGTGAGTTACTTTAATGCTGAGTGATTCAAATATTCATTTCTGTCTTCTTTTAGTCAAGCCAAATTTTTCATGTGCTTGACCAAAAGCTGTTGAAAAATCAGGATAATAGCCAGGATTCAGAGTAATTTCTAAAATAGACGATCAGGTGTCAAAATTATGAGACCGCTGCTTGAACATGAAAACAAGTAACGTGACCAACTTAAGTTCAAACCCAGTATCAGACAAAAGAAGTTTAATTGTAAATTTTAACAGCTGCCTCTGGACTGCCCTCTGCATGGACCTGTAGGGCAGCCCGTGCAAAGAGAGGCGATGAGTCACCAGTATGTCTGTGTCAGGTGGTGAGGAGAGTGTCAGTTTCTAAAATTGATCTTGGATACATTCATGTCAGTGTCATCTCAAGATGCTTCTGATATCAGTCTTGTGCTAAAGAGTGGGATTATTTTGGAGAAGTTCTAACGAGGGGGTCATCTTGAGCAGGTCACTGAGAATCCTCTTCTGTTTTCCACGGTGATGGCAGCACAGTCTCTCCTGCTTCACAAAAAGCAGTCACTCCCGGGGGGCATCGGAGAAGTGCTGATGGTGGAGACGCGGAAGGACGGGAGGAGGTTGTTCTGGGCAACTTGGCTGAACAACTCCATGAATTTGAGCTGTGTTTCACTCCCCTTAAATTTTTTCAGAGGAAGGAATAGTGGCCGAAAGTTAACAGTTACTGAAGTTTGGTGGTAGGTAAAGGGAGTCCATTACACTCTCTTCACTTTTGTTTAAAATTTTCTATCATAAAAGTTAATATTTCTCCAAAGTTGTTGCTAGAAAATCTTTTTTTTTAAATAAAAAGAAAATAATTTAAAGGATCTTGTATTCTCATTGATTTTCTTAACTGAAAGCCACCTTAAAAAAAGAAAAATATATGTACATAGTTATTATGCCTATTTTGCCTATATTACACATTTATATACATCTATTATTTATATTTCTAGTGTGTAAGAGAGAGAAAGTGAACAAATAAGTATTTTCCCTAAAGAGACTATATGTTTTTTCTTAGCACACTAGTGCTTATAGTCTGAAAAATTCCATTAAGACATGGAACGTAGACAACCAGAGTCCACTTTCCACTTCACTGGGGAGCTCAGGAAATGACTTAGTTGAAGCCACACACACAGAAGTACACACACTTGCCTTTCATGACATTGGTGATCTTTTCTGCAGGGAAACTCCAGCCATCATTGGTTCCAGCCCTGAGGTGCACTCTGAAATGTTCAGTGCAGCAGGATTCTTGATAACTCGTCTTCCAGAGGGACTAGTGCTTGGTTTAACCAGGTACACATCATCTTCATTTTAATAGTTAGGGATAGCTTGTACGTCACAAACCACAACCTGACATGTCTATATATGTTTTAAAGATCTGTGTGAAAGCTCAGTAAGGCTGATGGGGGGGTGGGGGTTGTGTGTGTGAGTGTGTATTTGATCGTATTCCCTTTGGTACAGGAAATGTAAGTCCTTGGAGCACCACATTGGTTATGTTTTATAGAACATTAAGGAGAACTTTAGAACCATCGATTCATTAATGTAATAAATTCATCCAGTGAAGAAATATTGATGGAGTACTTCTATGTGTCAGGCACTGCAGTAGGCGCCGTGTGGTCTTCTCAGGCCTTCCAGACCAAAACGAGAGCAGACATTAATGGAAACGTCCACCTGTGGTTGTGTCGTCACAAATGCTACTGGGCGCCTCGAGGGAAGAACAGGATGTTGGAGAGTGTGTGAGAAGTCACCTCCACCTAGCTGGGGGTCAGGGAAGGCGTCCCTGAGGATGTGATATTTGAATCATATCTGAGGGGTAGGGAGAGCGCCAGATTGAGGGAAACGAGTGTGAGAAAACCCTGATCTCAGGAAGAAGCTTGGTACTTGGAAGTCTTGAGAGGCCGGGGGAGCTGAGCGTAAAGGGCAGAAGGAGACTGGTGAGTGATGGGGCTGGAGAGCTCGCTCAAGCCGAGCCCTGCGGGGCCATGGATGGGCAGAATTTGTTCTTTACCTTTAGAGCCATTGGAAAGTCTACTAAAGGTTCTAAGCAGGGAATAACATGACCTAATTTACACCTTCAAGGAAATCACTTTTACTAGAGTCTGGAAAATGGCTTAGAGAAGAGCAAGGGTGCCTGCAGCCCTGGACAGGCGGCGGTTAGACTGGGAGCCAGCCTCTCGGCCGTGAATTGGGGACATGGAGGTGAGTGGACCGTGCTCTTATCCTCTTCAAGGTCACAAACTGTGGGGTCAGACTTGTAAACAGACGATGATGACACAGTGTGCTGCACCTCACGAAAGGCGAGTAAAACACCCTGTGTAAGCACAGTGAGTGAGGCAATTCATTTTGACTTGGACGATCAGGAGGTGTCATGTGATCTGGGCCCTGAAGAATGAGTAAGAGCCAAAGAGGAGACTCAAAATTATTCCAACAGGAAGGACTAAGGCGAATTTGAGGTGCTTTGAGATGCTCTGAACTTCAGGGAATGGTAAGCAGTGTAATAGGGTAACCACACTGCCTCCAGCCCAGATCAAATGCTTCCGGATTGCTGCCTCTAGTACCTTGACTTTGATAGTTCTTTGATCACACCAGGGCCACGGATCCATCAAACCCCCACTTTCACTGTACCTCACTCCCCTAGTGTCCTCGATCACCCAAACGAAATCCCATGAACCATCATGAGCATTGTTTCCTGGTATAAACCCTCAATTCCCCCATTTGTCTCTAACGTTGTCTTAAAGACCCAATGACCCTCAACCCTTGTTTGCTCCAACCTGCCTACTCCATCCTACACTTGAGCAGCTGCCCTTGGCTGCAAGAAAACTCATGTCCATGGGCTCTGGTCTCATTTGGGGCCACAGAACTCAAGGGAGCTCTCAGTGTAGATAGGCCTTCCTACTGTGACCACTGTACACTTTGTACTCCCTCCTCAAAACAGTAATACTTGCATCCTCACTCTCAGTTGATGACTTAGCTCTTGTTTCAATGAGAAAATAGAAATCATCAGAAGAGACTTCCATGTGCTCCCATACCATATCTACCCACAAACCGGCATCTGAGCCCATAGACTCTGTCTCCCTTCCCACCGCTAAGGATGAACAGTAACCCTGCTCCTATCAAAAGCCAGCCCCATTCCCTATGCAATTTCCTCCTCCTTCTTTGAGAACATGTCTGCAGCAATTCTTCTGTTCCTTTATTCCACTGTTAATTTCCTCCTCTGTACTGAATCATCTCCACAGCATGAATATATTGTTATATCTCCTGTCTTAAGAAAATTAACTCTCTCTCAACCCCACATCCCTAGAGACCGCCCCGTTACTCTGCTCCCCTTTACAACAAAACTCCCCTAAAGGTTTGTTTTTATTTGTCAATTCTAGTTCCTCTTATTTCCATTCTTCTTAAACTCACTCTAATCAGGTCTCTCGCCCAATCACCTCCTTGAAATTGCTCTTATCATCAACCAAAATCTGCATGCTGCTAAATCCCATATGAAGATTCAGTCTTCGTTTTCCTTAACGGTTAGCACTATTTCATATAATTGATCATCCTCCTCCTAGAAACACTTTCTTTACTTCCTTCTGGGACCGACGTGGTCCTGATGTTTCTCCTTTTTCACAGACTGCTCCTCCTCAGTCTCTTCTGCTCCGTCGTCTTCTTCTCAGCACCCTCCAAATGATGGAGGGCTGTAGCCCAGTCCCTGCACCTTTTCTCTTCTCTATTTTCACTCATTTCTTAGATGAGCTTATCTACTCTCATGGATTTAAATACGACAAATCACTGATGACTTGCTTTTGTTTTTCCTCTGGCCTGGACCTCTCCACTGAACTCCAGACTCAAAAGTCCGTCTACATGGTGTTTCAGTTTGGGTTATCCAGAGGACTAAAACTGAGAACTGCTGCTCTCTACCCTCAGGCCAGCTCCTTACTTCTCCCCGCACCTCCTCTCTAACCCATCACCCATCCTCTTAACCATATTCTAAATAAATATCCAAGATCTGACCATTTCTTGTCACCTCCACTGTCAGAACCCTAGTCTGAGCCACCCGTGTCTCTTACCTGGATTTTTGCAACAGCCTCCCAACTGCTTCCACGTTTGCTGTCTCCAGCCCTGCACAGCATAGTCTCATCTCAACATCCAGAGTGAGCCTCCTACAGTGTGAGTAATATCTTGTCACTCCTCTGCTCGGAATCCCCAGTAACATCCATCTCACTCAGAATAACATTCGAAGATCTACTGGCCTACAAAGCCCTGTATGACTGGGTCTCCTGTTTCCTCTCTGACCTCAAGCCCTACCAGCCACCCCGTTGTTCACTCTGCTCCAGGCATCCTGGCCTCCTTGATGTTCCTCAGACCTAGCAGTCGTGCTCTCTCCTCAGAACCCTGGCATTGCCTCTTCCTCCTTCCAGCAAAGCTTTTCCAAGAGCTTTACTTGGCCTCTCCCTCACATTCTTCCAGTTTCTGCTCCTGTCACCTTATCAGCGAGGTCTTCCTTGACCACTCTGTTCAGATTAACAGCTTTTCATTCCTTGTTTTGCCATCTGTGTAGTGTTTTTCTCAGAAGCATTCTGGCCACCTGATACACCGTATTAGTTAGGTTAACGATGGAACCTGTAAATATTAGTCCCCATATTTCTGTAGTTAGCACATTTCAGGTATATCACCCCCTCCCTTAGCAGTTCAATGCTACTGTCGTGGTGGGTGAGTTGTTTTCCTTCAGCTGGGATTCATGCATCTGGATCCTTCCATCCTAAGGCTCTGCCTTCAGGACCTCAGAGGCTTCTATATCCAGTGGGAACAAGGGAAGGGTTATAAGTGGAGAAGGCACACCAGGTTCTTAAGAACCCTGTGCTGGAAGTGACACACCTCACTTCTGCTCACATCATACTGGTGGGAGTTAGTCATGTGGACATAGCTGGACGCAGGAGTGGCTGGGAAATTTAGTCCCTGTCTGGATCACGGCCTGCCAGTGACAACTCAACTCCAGGAGTGTTGGTGGACAGAAGGCCATCTCTGTCACACACACTATACATTTACCTGTCTAGTAACAGTGTCCTTCATTCGAACGTAAGCTCCATGGAAAAGCCATCTTTTTCTGTTTCTATCCTTCTTGTGACTCTAGGACATGGAACAGCTCCTGGTAGATCCCCAGTGAATATTTATTTTTCTTTACTTTTAAAAGGCCATAGATTGGAAGAGGGAAAGGGTTCTTGTTGTGGGAGTGGAGGCTGAGAAGACCGAGTCAGACCATGAAAGACCGTGGCTGTGGACACCTGTAGTCAGCACGGGCATAGGCTCCTCTGGAGCAGGAATACGCCCAGAGCGCAGACAAATTGGACTAGAACCAAAGCATTTGGCCCCATTTTTTTCCATAAAACCATTTGGACAATAGTTGCACAACAGGAATTTCTCTATTGCCATCCTGTGGCTTTGTAGATAAGCAGCAGTGAATCAGCCAGAACCCAAAAATGTCGTTCTGTTTGGTTTAACTGCACTTGTATACACACGGCCTGTGTCGCTCCATGGGAAAGCCTCCCTTTGTTCAATGGACTGCATGTTAAGTCTGTGGTGTAATTCCAGATGATTTCTCTGGCTTTTTCCTCTACGTGTTCTCCTAATTTAGGCTTGATCTGTTATTACACAGGTGGGTGTCAAGTGTGAAATACCATCAGTGCCCTCTGGGTTGAAATGATGTTATGGGGGTGACTTCAGACTTAAAGCCAAGCTCTGAGGCTCCTGTGCAGCCTCTCCTGGTGCCACCCGTTGACATCCAACACTGAGCTGGGAGGACCGTGTTTTCGATTTAGTAATTCACATTGGGTTCCTTTGAAATACAGCATGACCGTGGTATGTCAAACTAAGAGAAGGTGCACATGCCTGTTTGGTCACCATGTTGCCAAACATTCAGCTATGTGGAAATGTTACACAATTGACTGAACACTAGTTATGTTGATGTATCTCTGTACACTTTTTTTTTTGAGGAAGATTAGCCCTGAGCTAACATCCGCTGCCAACCCTCCTCTTTTCGCTGAGGAAGACTGGCCCCGAGCTAAGATTCGTGCCCATCTTCCTCTACTTTCTATGTGGGACACCTGCCACAGCATCGCTCACCTAGCGGTGCCATGTCCGCACCTGGGATCCGAACTGTGCAAACCCTGTGCTGCTGAAGGGGAACCTGCGAACTTAACCACTGCGCCACGGGGCTGGCCCCATACACTTGGGATTTTTAATTGGTCTTATACCTTATCATCCATAAGATGTGGCCTCCAAAACAGGTTATGTAATGAGAATGATCAAAATAAGCATAAAATGCTGGTTTAAAAAAAAATCTGTTATTAAGTATTGGAAAGTATGCTTATTATTTGAGGGGCAATCAGTCCAAAGGACTTATAACCAAAACAAGGGGCCTGTGGTTGCAAGGATGCCATACAGAGCCATCTGAGAGAGAGAGAGAGAGCACTTGGCAAGTGCCTGACAAAGCCCTCAAGCTCTCACTCTGGGTATTTTTGTTGGAAAGACCAAGACGTGAGTTTCAATTTATTTTATTAAATAATTTGCATCTGGAGGGAAAATTCTTTCTGAAACATCTGCATGGAATTTGGGACCCGTCATATGATGTTTACTGTATAATTGAAGAGTAACTACTTCATCACCTGGGAGTAGGAGATGGGAGCAGTGTGAAGCCTCCTTGTCTGGGCACCTGAGAGTGCCAGGATGTCACACTGGGAGTCAGCAGGATGAAGCTTGGCCTCACGATTATCTATATTGTACAGCTCCCTTGATCACAATTAGAGCCGTACAAATTGACATTTTTCTACTAAATTGTAGGGTAGGATTTCTACTAAATCCTAAGGGTAGGATGTACGAGGATTTTTTCCCCTATTTTTTCTTTTTTTTCTAGTATTTTTCTTCTCCAAATACCAAAAAAAAATCACTTAGATTGAGCAAACTTTCTCTGGGTTAATTCATTGTAGAAACACTTGTTATTACAATTGCCTTTCAGAAACCTATTGATAAGTAAACTTACTTATTGATGTTTTCCCTTCTAATGGAAATGCTCACTAGTAACCGGGTCATCCAGCTGGGAGGTGTTTCCTAGCTGTTAGGCTGCTGGGGCTGCCATGACAAAATACCACAGACTGGGTGGTTTAAACAGCAGAAATTTATTGTCTGGCAGTTCTGGAGCCCAGAAGTCTGCGATCAAGGTGTTGGCAGGGTTGGTTCCTTCTGAGGGCAGCGAGGGAGAATCTATTCCATGACTCTCCCCTCATTTCTGGTGGTTTGCTGGCAATCTTTGGCATTTCCTTGGCTTATAGGATCATCTCATCTCTGCCTTCATCTTCTTATGGTGTTCTCTGTATGTGCATGTGTGTCCCAATTTCCCCTTCTTTTAAGAACACTAGTCATATTCAGTTAGGGGCCCACCCTACTCCAGTGTGACTTCATCTTAGTGAATTACATCTGCAACGACCCTTCTTTTAAGTGAGGTCACGTTCTGAAGTACTGGGGTTAGGACATCAACATCTGAGTTTTGTGAGGAAACAATTAGCCCCCTAACACTATCCAACCAATGATCCCAGAGAAAGGGGAGGAGAGGGGGAAATCTAGTAAGTGACATTTACATTCTTAATGCTGTATATCCAAACCCTGTTTGGTCTTCCCAGATGGACTATTTTTACCTTAGAAGGTGGAAGAAGACCCTTCAAGTTTCTCTCCCTCATTGGACTTGGTTTCTGCTTGCATCTAAGGAGGCTGAAAATATTTACCCCACATCCTGCCCAGCAGGTGTACATGGGGTGAGGTGTAATAAAGAACATCACAATACTTTGAAAAAATATAATGCATTGTGTCTCCAAGTGGTAGTGTCTTCTTGTTGTTGTTATCGTTACTGTCATAAGAGTCAAAGTTTGCCTAATTGGCTGATTATGAAAATTGCCTTGAGAGCTTGGTATTTATGGAGATTCCTGGGCCCATTCTCAGACCCTCTGACTCAGTAGTTCTGCAGTCGGGTCTAGGAAATATATTTTTTAAGGGCTTTCCAGGTAATTCTGGTGATTAACCAGGGTTGGAACTACTGGTCTTGGGAAATGTCTTCTTTCAGAATGAGCACTGTCAATAATGTATATTCAACTTTATTATTCACATGTAAGGGAAAATACCGCTCCATGGTTCCAATCATGGTGCTATCAGCTGACTTTAGGAAGGCAGTATGTGTTTAGTGGAGAAGTGCTGGGTTTGCTGCTCCTGGATTTGAATCCTGATTCTTTGTATAGCTTATTATGCTTGTACATCCATTTAGCAGATGTAAATTGGGGCAAGTAACTTCTCTGAGCTTCAATTTCATTGTCTGTAAGATGAGGATAATCATGTCTATCTCGCAGGGTTGTTGGAAGAATTACATTGCATTAATTACGAAAAGCACTAGGATTAAACAAGTGTTCATTAAAAGATCACTTTTTTGCCTACTCTTCTAATATTTTGATTTATTTTGAGTCACTACCTCTGAATTTTTGGAAATAGGAGACAGTTAAAATAGATTGACTAGCACTGTATACCTTGCTTCCCCTGGCTCCGCCTTTTATGCTTTATGATTAGTATTTCTTAGGTTCAAAGGTTGAATGTGAAACTGTGAGTGCTGGATGTTTTCAGAGTGCCCCAGGTCCTAATGGAGCTACATTAATTTTGTGGAAGAGTGATAATGTTGGCAGTAAACCTGAATTCTTGGGACATGGCGAGCTAAGGAAAATGACCCATTAACTTATGAGACGTTTGGGTACAGGCTGCAGGGCAGGACAGAGCCGCAGGCACTGGACCATAGTGTGGTTAAGTATTAACCTTTGAGGAGCGTGTGGAAGAGGGCTCCGTGGCATTCCGTGGAATGTTTAAAGTAAGCATCTGATTTTTAACCACTCACCATCATTAATGAATGGCTGGTCATTCCTCTTTAGAATCTTCACGGTATTGGTTTTTGAACAATGCCCCTGGTGTACTAAGAATTCTCCGATTCGGAGAGAAAATAATGGAAAACTGAGGGGAAGTGCAAAGTTAATTTGCAATTGGTTGGGTCTTAGAGACAGAGCATCAACCTTTTAATGGCTGAATCTAGTCTCTTTTCAGATTAGTTCAGGTGCACTCTGAGGTACCCAACCTGAAATTCTAAGAAAATCGACTTGATTTCAGTTTTATTCCATGTTAGTGCCTGTTTCTGTTCCAAAGCCTCTTTTAGAAGAGTTTTCTGCCTTTTGAGGTATTTTACATTCTTGCCTAAGACCACCCAGAACAAGCAGGAAGCCTACCCAGAACATGGACTAGCAACCATTTTAATGTTGATGATGAATTACTCATAATTGGCTGGAAAACTTCAGAGACTGTAGACCCTTCCATTTTTGTGGGGTGGTTCTAGTGTGCATTTCAGAAGTTGCTGCTCTATATTCTTATGTGTGATCCATAGTCATGGTTGTGGCAACACTCTGTTGCTGGGTATTAAAAGTGTCGTCAGGTTTTTCTCCAGCTGTAGACAGCCTGTGATGGCCTTTCATTTCCACTAGCAGATTAGAATAAAGCGAGAAGTTTTATAAAAGAAATGGAAAAAACCAAAAAGCGAAAAAACAGAGAAAGGAGCAGAGACTTTGTAAGATGACTCTGAGCTGAAGCCATATTTTCCTCTCTAAATCCACAGGGCAAGAGAAATAGCACCTCTAGATGTGCTGAGAAGAGTCAGGCAGGTCATGGGGACCCAGAATCTTGAGAAGGATCCTACCAGTTACTGACAATGCTGAAGATGGAAATTGTCAGAGAAGGTAACTGTCAATGTGAGGCGGGTCCTGAGATGAACCTGATCAATGAATGGTATCAATGCATTTCAGCCAGAATATCTGGGGAGTCACCAACAGGAGAAAGAAGGTTGATCATTGAAGATTCTGACCCCGTGGAGTCAAAAGAGGGGCTCTTCGGTTGACTAGGTAGCCTGACATCTGTCTTAAGGTGGGAAGGGGTCAAAGTCAATGCTTTTCAGAGAGGCTGCAAAGAAGAGAGCCTGAGGGAGCCTGGGCCCATCCTAGGTTAATAAGATAAATATTTGCCGAGCTGAACTGTTGACCTGGCCAGTTGCCAGAATAACAGTAGCAGAGGGCTTTTCATGGTCAGGCTCAGACATAAAAAAATGGGGAAGCTGGGACCCTTGCAGCTTATCCACATCCTAAAGGTCAACAGCATAGGTTGGAAGCAGAAGCAGATTACCTCCAAGAGCTAGCCCTGGAGTTCTGCTGTTAGATTCTCGCTGGCTCAGAAAAGTCAGGGCTTAATTTTCTTGGTTTCAGAAGAACAGAATTACTGATTAAACAAGACCATGGTTTTCCTTCCACTTGAAGTGAGCAAATTCTGGAAACGCTGCAAATGCAGCTCTTTGCAATGCAAATTGGTGTCCCGGGCGCCTTTTGCTCAGATGTCTGCTGTAAAAGGCCCTTGAATGTCTGTGAAATTGTGCCATGGCCGTGGGGGGCAGAGATCTGCCATATCTTCCTGGCTTTATGTGTGGAAAGAATAACTCTTAGGTTAAGCGTTGTTTGGAAAATCATCTCTCGTTATTCCCAATTGAAATATGTTTTCTGCTAAACAGCCCATTGCTTCACTGTGTAGCTGTTGCATTCATTCATTAAAAAATTCCTTCCTTCATTCAATCATTCATCCAACCTTGAATCTGTGTACTTACTGACCAGCAGGCCTGGTGCTTTCACACACGTGTGGATCACATTTGCACCGACTATTGCCCTGTGACTGGACATCTAATACCATTTAGACAGGGACAGAAGGTAAATATGGAGGCAGGATACAGATGATGCCTTTTCTTCTTAGGATGAAGGAGTCAGAGAAGTAACAACGTCAATTATTTCTATGAAAAATCACAATATAAAAGTCTGTCTTCCAACAATGTGATTTGAGGACAGACATTTATTTATGGGTTACCAGGGCTCATGCTCTGGCTGGACAATTCACCTTTTCACAAAGAAATCTGCCTGACCTCTAGTGCCTTCACATCCACGAAGGGGGGATCCATCCAACTTTATACCTATATCTATATATCTATGATATATATATTATATTAACTTTGTATAAGTCTCTCAACCATGCATAGTGTTCTCGCGTATAAACCTCAAAATACTTTCCATGCTTCGAATGCATACAGCAAACTAAAATCAAAGCTGAAAGCAATGTCAAGGAAAAATAAAGAATGGTTTAAATTCTGCTTTTTTTAAATGTGGAGAGCATCAGCCTTTACTAGCTGAGATGGGAGCTTGTCCGCCTGGTGTAACAACAGCCAGTGTTCATGGTGGCTTACCCGTGCTAAGCGCTCACAGGTATTGAGTCATTTAATCCTCATCACAATGCTAAGAGATTAGCACTATCCCGCTCCCTGTTTTACAGATGAGGGCTTAGAGGCACGGAGGCCAGGCAATGTGGCCAGTGCTGGAAAGTGCAAGTTTGGGGTATGAAGCTGACTGACCTGGCTCCAGGGTGGGTGCTCCTGACCACTCCCCTAAGCCAGAAGGTGCAGCAGGGGCCAAGGGGGTTTATTAGGGGCGAACTCCCTCCCTGCTCTCGGGTCCACATTTGTACCACGTCACTCTCTCAGTCTTGTTGGAAAGGAGAAGTGAGTTAGAGCTAAAATGTGGGAATTGGAATGACACCCAGTGTTCGGTTAAGCGTTAAGCGTTGTTTGGAAAATCATCTCTCATTATTCCCAATTGAAATATGTTTTCTGCTAAACAGCCCATTGCTTCACTGTGTAACTGTTGCATTCATTCATTAAAAAATTCCTTCCTTCATTCAATCATTCATCAAACCTTGAATCTGTCAAGGGATCTCGTTGTGAGTGTGTTGGGGGCTAGAGAGGGGGAGAGGGCGGAGGCAGAAGACAGGATGCTCTTGAGGCCGATGCCAGCTCCAGAGGTGATGATGTAGAGGTGAGCCCTCCACATGTGGCAAATAACAGCCTGGCTCTCAGCTCATCCTCTTCTCTAGCATACCTCAGTTTACCCCCCGGTGGTGGTGGAGGAAAGACGAGATGAGAGAGAGAGAGAAAAAAAGAGAGAGAGAACTGATATCCAGATGACTTCAGATCAGATACTTCAAGAACAGAGAGAGATGGGAAATCTAGGTGGACTGGCAGAACTAAAGGATGTCTTTTTTAAGACTTAGTGGAGTTTGGACTCATCATTGGTGAGGCTTTAGCTGATCCTCGTTTCTGCAGGAATAGCAACGTGTGTGCGGAGCGTGAGGTCAGGGTGATGTCTCTGATGTTGGGAAGGAAGAGAGCAGGCGATTGGGGTTTGTCTGGAGCCAGGCTCACATCAGCAACCCGCTAGTGGCCAAAAGGACCACAGCCAGCAATGATCCCCCCATAGAGGGCTTTTTGAACTTTGCTGTGCAAAGAAGGGGAGAGAGCTGAGAAAGAAAAGTGCCTCACCAAAATGGGGCTTCCTTGTGGCTTCTGGAGATATCCATGCCAGTCAGCAGGTATGTGAGCCTTGTACACCTTACATTAATCCCCTTGAAAGCACAGCCAGCGCCTTCTGAAGATGTCATTGTCCTGCCTGGTGAGCAGAGCTGTAAGTTTCCATTCTGGGCTGTGAGTGGAAAGTAAAGCTTTAGATGTGTTACTTTGCGTTAGCTGCACAGCAGACAGACTTCCAATAGAGAGGACTCTGTCCATCCACGCCTCTTGGACATGCTCTCTGCATCTCACTTTTATTCATGGAAAGAGGAAATTCTCCTGGCCTGGAAAGGCTTTCATGTGACCTGCAAGAAGTTGGCCTCAAGTCTGGCAAGCAGATTTCCAAGCAAGCTTAATATCATTGAGTACAAAAAAAAAAGTCAAATGTTTGTTTTATTTCTTCATTAATTTCTACGATGTTTGCCTCTTGCCGTTCAGGTTTAAATAAATATACTCAGTGATGGACATTGACGTCAGTCCCTTTTCTCCCTGGAGTATTTTGAGCCTATGAAAGGGGCTGGAATGGATGCCAACTGTCTTATCAAGGTCTTTTTTCTCTGACGACAGTCTCTGATCTCCTGAGATATGCTGTGACCGGAAAAGCTGATTCCCAGCAATCCAGGTGCGCCTCGTTTTAAGACAAAGGCGATGCCTGAGCATTTACATGAGGCTTCTCTTTAAGGGTGCTCATGACGGGTCTGCTCCACAGAAAGCTTCTGTTTGGCTTTTGGAAATCATTTGCATAACTTTTTCAGGAACAAGAGTACTTACTGAGTGTTGCTTGGACACAGACTTGTCCTGAGGATGTCCGGGCACTCTGGGGTGGTTTGAAGGGCCTCGCCACTTAGCGGTAAAATCCTAACGAGGCAGCATTGTCCCGCCATCCTTTCTGGCTGGACATTGTCCTGCCGTCCTTTCTAGCCAGACATTTCCATCCTCACAGGTGCTCCTTTGAGGGCTAGACCAGGTAGAAGTGAGGGACAGCCAGAGGCCGGGTGCAGCACCAGGAACCAGCCCAGTGTGGGCTGTGACATCCTGAGGACCAAGCCCACATCCACCACTGACTGGATTTGGGAGCTCAAGTAACTTTTTTAGCTCCTCTGAGGTTCGATTACCTTCCTGGGAAAGTAGAACCAGGCACACACACCTTGCAAGGTCCTGGCCAGGATTAAACTCTCCCCTGTCTCTCCAATCCTCAGTTTTGTTTGGACAACTCCTGCCCAGCCTTCAGTCCCCAGCTGAGATGTCACCTCCTCCAGAAGGCTTCCTGACCTTGTCTGGGGAGGAATTCTCCTAGGGCCACAACTTAACTCTTTTCTTCTCTCAGAGTACTTTTCACGTGTCATTACGTTGTCTCTCGCCTGTAAACTGCAGACTCTGTGAGGACGGGAAATAGACGCACCTTGGTTAGCTGGCACACATCATGGCGCCTGGCACACGGTCAGCTCTCAGCCTCTGTGGGCTGGAGTTGGATTGACGAGTAGAAAATCCTATTTCACGTGAGGCCCGTGGGGGGTCCCTTTCCCATCCTTGCCCTTCCTAGAACACAGTGCCACTGTAGGAGGACTATTAACACTCTCATAGCCATTTGCTCACACAGCTGGATTTCGCGTTCACCCAAATGGATGCCTAAAGCTAGAACTTCTTGATTTCTGTCTTTATAAGCACATTTCTGTATAAAATTGCTTGCTGTTTGCATTAAACAGCCTTGTTTTGGAGATTTCCTAAAACTTTATTAAAAATTGACTATTTGATGTGATCCTCTGAGAGTGATCCTCTTAGGAACCAAGGAGGAACTGGTGGTTAGGTGATAAGACCCTGGATCCGTAAGTCTCAGTGGTAGGGAGGAGGGAAGACAGGGAGCGTGGGAGTGAAAGAGGCTGGGTTAGCTTTGAGGGGAAGGCCAAACTGGGAGAGGGGAAGAGATTCAACTGAGGGACGCTGACCTGGCACTTAGCAGGCATGTTTAGCAAACTGAAATATTGGAAATAAGCTGGTATGGAATGGTTCATCACGGATGGTTTCTTCCGAATAAAAAGGAGGAAGAGGACAAGGTAAGACGGAGGAGTTGTGGCAAAGAGGAAGAAAAAGCTACTGCTCCACCACCATGTGGGCCTCACGTCTTGGAACAATGGTGGTGCTGATTTTTCCCACATGGCTTGGCCCATAATTAGCTCAGTGTGCCCTCACCTGGCCCTGCCCCGTCCTGTGCCTGCCTCCCACTGCTGACTGAGGAAAGGTTTTTTGGTTGCTGCAAAACTTGGCTGGTTTGGAGGGGTTAGCTTCTTGCCAGTTCGGGTCTCTTGTCAGTGCTAAGTTATACTGACCTTTAATAGAACCGTAGTGATTAACTTCATGGCTACATGGCTGAGAGATGAAAATTCAAGTAAATCTCAGGCTATTTATAGTAAGCCCTTCCTCCCCCATGGATTCTTAGGAAATTCTCTGAGAAAAGGTAGTGGGAACAGAAGAGAAGTCTACATGCCCCAGAGGATGGAAAGTTAAGGAGTTTCTCTGTAGCTTAAGTTAATAACCATAATTCAAACCACCTACACTTAGAGCTAGGTCTTAAGAAAGGGCCTGAGTTGACGAGGAATGTCAGGTTTCAGGGACCTGGATTTAAGGGAGCAGTGGTTGAGGGCTGAGCGGCAAGTACTCAGCTACTGGACAAAGTGTATCTTTCAGTGACTGTCCTCTTTCCCTCCCAGACCTGAAGCATAGGGAATGCCCCCAGCCCAACAGCTCTCCCTCACTCGATTGTATCATGCTTCTCAAATGCTTGTTTCTATTTATTTTTTTGTCTCCCCAGTTCGATGTGTCCTGCCGAGTAAACTGACCTTACGTGCATTTCTGTCTTCCAAGGGCTGTGGCCCCCAACCTGGTAGTCCCCTCGTCAGACCCTCATGTCTCCACCTTCACTGACTCAGTGCACCTTGCTACCAGGTACTCCCAGAAATGTCACCTTTAGAGTGTTGCTTCTCCGTGCTTGAGGCGTGATACCTGGTTTCCAATACAAATACTTGCAGTGACCAACTCCTTTAGGTCTTATCAGCTTGTCACCACTGTACGTTAGCTCGATGGATGTCCCAGTTCTGGGTACAGGGAAAATAGGTGGGGGCAAATGGGAAGGAAAAGATTATGTGAGGCCCTGGAATTCTTCACAGGAAAATGTGCAGAGCAAAGCAGGCAGAATGTGCTGTGATCAGGATAAGAACTGGGTGCCGGATGCACCCTGGAGCTTGGCCAAAGGGCGATGAGAGGGCAAACACAGCCAGCCAGAAAGGAGCGTGTCCCTCACCCTTCCCCTGCGGGGAGTGAGAAAGATGCTCTAATGCCCTTCACCTGATCATTTAAAAAAATACCTTCCTTAAAAGACTGAAGATTGAGGGGGATTCTCTTTTATCTATCCTGGAAAAAGAATCCAAAGGGGGAAATTGTCAAGGTTCCCCGTCTAGAAATTAAGGCAAGAAACAGGAAAATCTGAGCACTTTGTCCCAATGGGAATCCCTTAGCTGTTCGGTTTTGGGTGTAAGGAGGGGGATTATGAGCAACAAGAATTAGGAGATGAGAGAAAAAGATCAGAGAGTCTACGTCTGTGTCTGTGGCATTCTCCAGGCTGGGCACAGCCCCGGAGCGAACATGTGATTCTCCCAATGTTGGATGTAATTTGGTCATGAGGCCTGTTGTCCTGTCAAGTCCCTTAGCTCTTCCAGGTCCCTGTGTCCTAACAAGGTCCTTGTCATTCCTCAGCATGAGGCAGGGGCTTGTTCCTATTCCCAGATGGTGGTAAACAGACTAATTGCTGACTAGATCAAAGCATATTCTTGTAACTAGAATATTATATAAGATATAACTTAAAAAACTTAAAGTATAAATGAGAATTAGGACCAAATCTCTCTTAGTTTCTGCCATTTGGATTAAGGGTGAGGCAGACATAATGAAGCTTGCTATTCTGTTCCCAGCTTAAATTTTCATTTATCCATCAACAGATATCCATCGTGTGCTTGGTAGGTGCCTGGCACAACGGTGTGCAAACTAAACACCATGCTCACCATTTTGGCACCAGTGTTGGGTTGGAAGAAACAGGCATGAATTAGACAATCACACGGATCTATGATGACAAACTGTGGCATGCGCTATGAAGGGAAAGTGTTGTACGCTCCTGTATTTCCCTGCAGGATACAGAAACCGGCTGCTGATTGCACAGCACTTCCAGGCCCTGATGGAGCAGCCTGGGCTCCGTGGGCACCTGCACCTGCAGGTTATTCCTTCTGCTGGGAAGCTGGACAGAGGAGAGTGAGGATGCAGTCAACTACTGAAGACTTGACTGGACAGTAAGAATTTTTCTTTCCTTTGCTCAATAAAGCTGCTAGTAATCCTCTTCTTGGGTCACTGAGTGTGCAAGTTAAACTGACATGACTTTGGCTCCAAACCTATGAGTTGAGGCATTTTTAAGACCCATCCTTGGAGAAAAATGAACTTTACAAAGGTGCCACCCAATTGCAGATAATATTAAACAGCTTTCCTTTCATTAGGAATAAAATTTACTGCACTAAAATGAGCACTAGTAGTAAAAAAAAAAAAAATTAAAATATTATCTAGTATAATGGCCAAAATAAAAAATCTAATTAAAATAAGAGTGGCTATAACACATATTTTAACCCGTTAGTGGGATTTAAAAAATGTCTTCAATAAATTCTCAGGAAATTAGAGTTCCAGTTTTATGGCAAAATGATGAATTCTCACTTTGTATAAGTGATGATATTTTGTTTAAATTCCAGAGTTTATACAATACCTTTACTATAAATTGAAGTGGTCATCCAGAATTTTTCGTACCTAACACAGATATGAGAAAGATTTGAAGACAATAATTTATTGCTTCCTTTATGAAGCATATTCCCATAGGAGTTTAGAACTTTAAATTAACATGTTTACATTTATAAGTAATTGTTTCCCACGTCGATTTTTCTCTTTGGGCTGAAAACTTCCCTTTTGCTTTCTCTTGGTCTCAGACCCCCATGCCCCCTACCCCTTTACTGCTTACCTGTCCCATTGTTATTTCACACACTCACCTGTATGACTGGATTTCAAAGGGCTGCAAACTTTTAACACAGTAAAGGAATTTGTAATTTATTCTAGTGATGTTTCCCTCTTGTTCTTCGTGACACTGCATCCATGAGAGGCATTAATTTAGTGCTCGAATGAGGGCTTAAGCCGTAGGTGCACGTGTTAAAGTGAGCGCATTGGTAATGTCTCGTGGTTCTATTTAATAACTTCTTTAGCATTAGTAGCTTCATGCTGGCCAGGCTGACACTTAACTCATGGGCTGAATCATTTACACTAATCCGGGAGCTCTGAACATTCTCAGGAGGCCACCAGTCACTGTTGCCTGGTGCAGATTTGGCAGTGCCCGCCATCTTTTGCATTATCCAACCTCCACTCTGTGTCTAGAGAAAGACGTGATTTGCTGTCCATAGGGTGCAAGTCCCAGGTGGTTTCCAACCATATGAGTAGTGACCGGTTCTAAGGACTTGGTCTTCATATGGAATCCTGTCTCTTTAATCACAGACCATGTCTATGAATTCCATTTCCGTGGCACCTTGACAAAGTGTGAGATAACCCATCAACAGTAGAGTTCGTCTCCTCCAAGAGCTCGTGCGATGCTTCTCAGGGAGTCTTGCGTCTTAAACTTCTGTGTCTACCACCCTCTATCCCTCCAGTCATCAAGCCCAGCTGTGGGAACACACATACGTGGACTAATCCCCAAATATGGAACTGAAGCAGAGAAGTGAACCGACAGGGAATAGAGGTGTAATTATTATCTCTATTTTATATTTTCAGCTGTACTTTTTGACTTTTACTGAAAGAAACCATAAGAAACAGCCAAGGAAGACTATCTGGCATCTTCCCCCACCCCTGTCTAAAATTATCGAGGACACTGTCATCATATTTCTCAGCATCCAGGTAGGTAATTTCTTTTAGACTTAAGTACTGGAAATGTTTTGTTCTCTCTGGGAAATAGATGTTTTTCTTCTGATGGACAATGCGTGAAAACAATGTAACTGACAGTGTTTCCATTTCTACTTTGGGTGGCAAGAAACTCAGAAACAATTTGTGAACCAACCATTGTTACTCTCTTGGACCTTTTGGCCTAGAAATTGAGTCCTATTGTTTCCTCTGATTCTAACAATAGACTCAGATTTCTATCTTTCTTGGTGTTTATTTTAATTTTACTCTTTTATGGTACATATTCCTTTTAAGTCACCTTAGAACCTTTGCGATTTAAGGAAGATTATCAATCACTCAATAAGAAGGCTAGGATAGGAGGTTCCAATCATTCTCTCCCTTTTTTAACAACAGAAATGTATTTTCTTGTACATCTGGAGGCTAAAAGTCCAATATTAAGGTGTTGTCACGTTTGGGTTTCCTAAGGCCCTTCTCCTGGGCTTGCCGGTGGCCGCCTCTGTGCACATGCATTCCTGGGGTCTCTCTCTCTTTTTTTTTAATTGTGGTAACATCGGTTTATAACAGTATATAAATTTCAAGTGTACATCATTATGTTTTGATTTCTGTGTAGATTACATCACGTTCACCACCCAGAGACTGATTACAGTCCATCCCCACACACGCCTGCCCAGTCACCCCTTTCACCGTCCCTCCTTCCTGCCCTGTCTCTCCCTCTGGTAACCACCAATCTAATCTTGTCTCTATGCGATTCTTTGTTGTTGTTTTTGTCTTCTATTTATGAGTGAAATCATACAGTTTTTGTCTTTCTCCCTCTGACTTATTTCGCTTAGCATAATACCCTCGAGGTCCATCCATGTTGTCACAAATGCCGGATTTCATCATTTCTTGTGGCTGAGTAGTATTCCATTATGTATATATACCACATCTTCTTTATCCATTCATCCCTTGATGGGCACCTAGGTTGCTTCCAAGTCTTGGCTATTGTGAATAATGCTGTGATGAACACAGCGGTGCATGTTATCTTTACGCATTAGTGTTTTTGTGTTCTTTGAATAAATACCCAGCAGTGAAATAGCTGGATCGTATGGTAGTTCTATTCTTAATTTTTTGAGGAATCTCCATCCTGTTTTCCATAGTAGCTGCACCAGTTTGCATTCCCACCAGCAGTGTATGAGAGTTCCCCTCTCTCCACATCCTCTCCAACATTTGTTCTTTCCTGTCTTGTTAATTAAAGCCATTCTGATGGGAGTGAGGCGATATCTCCTTGTAGTTTTGATTGGCATTTCCCTGATAGTTAATGATGTTGACCATCCTTTCATGTGCCTGTTGGCCATCTATATATCTTCTTTGGAGAAATGTCCGCTCAGATCTTTTGCCCATTTTTTAATTGAGTTGTTAGATTTTTGTTGAGATTTATGAGTTCTTCATATATTTTGGATATTAACCTCTTATCAGATATATGGTTTGCAAATATCTTCTCCCAATTGTTAGGTTGTCTTTTCATTTTGTTGATGGTTTCCTTTGCTGTGTGGAAGCTTTTTAGCTTGATCTAGCCCCATTTGTTTATTTTTTCTATTGTTTCCCTTGCCCAGTCAGACATGGTACTTGAAAATATGCTGCTAAGACCTATGTCGATGATCGTACTGCCTATGTTTTCTTCTAGAAGTTTCATGGTTTCAGATCTTACGTTCAGGTCTTTAATCCACTTTGAGTTGATTTTTGTGTATGGTGAAAGATAATGGTCTACTTTCATTCTTTTGCATGTGGCTGTCCAGTTTTCCCAATACCATTTATTGAAGGGAGCTTCCTTTCTCCACTGTGTGTTCTTGGCTCCTTTGTCAAATATTAGCTGTCCATAGATGTGTGGGTTTATTTCTGGGCTCTCAATTCTGTTCTGTTTATCTGTGTGTCTGTTTTTGTGCCAGTATCATGCTGTTTGGGTTACTATGGCTTTGTGATATATTTTGAAATCAGGGCGTGTGATACCTCCAAGTTTTTTCTTTTTTCTCAGGAATCCTCTGGCTATTCAGGGTCTTTTGTTGTTCCGTATAAATTTTAGGATTCTTTGTACTATTTCTATGAAAATGTTGGAACCTTGATAGGGATTGCATTGAATCTGTAGATTGCTTTAGGAAGTATAGACATTTTATATTTGTTAATTCTTCCAATCCAGGAGCATGAAATATCATTCTATTTCTTTGTGTCTTCTTCAGTTTCTTTCAACAGTGTTTTATAGTTCTCAGTGTGCAGATCTTTCACCTCTTTGGTTATGTTTATTCCTAGGTATTTTATTCTTTTTGCTACAATTGTAAATGGGATTGTATTTGGAATTTCTCTTTCTGCTACTTCATTGTTAGTGTATAAAAATGCAACTGATTTTTGTATGTTAATTTTGTATCCTGCAACTTGACTGCATTCATTTATTATTTCTAGAAGTTTTTCGATGGATTCTTTAGGGTTTTCTATATATAAAATCATGTCATCTGCAAATAGTGACAGTTTCACTTCTTCCTTTCCAATTTGGATCCCTTTTATTTTTTTTCTTTCCTGATTGCTTGGGCTAGGACTTCCAATACTATGTTAAATAAGAGTGGTGAAAGTGGGCATCCTTGTCTCATTCCTGTTCCTAGAGGGATAGCTTTCAGTTTTTCTCCATTGAGTAAGATATTAGCTGTGGGTTTGTTATATATGACCTTTATTGTGTTGAGGTACTTTCCTTCTATATACCCATTTTGTTCAGAGTTTTTAATCATAAATGGATGCTTTGTCTTGTCAAATGCTTTCTCTTCATGACCATGTGATTTTTATTCTCCATTTTATTTTTTATTCTCCATTTTGTTAATGTAGTGTATCTCGTTGGTTGATTTGCAGATGTTGAACCATCCCTGGATCCCTGGAATAAATCCCACTTGATCATGGTGTATGATCTTTTTAATGTATTCGATTTGGTAGTATGTTGCTAAGGACTTTTGCATCCATGTTCATCAGTGATATTCGCCTGTAATTTTCTTTTTTGTGTGTCGTCCTTGTCTGGTTTTGGTATTAGGGTAGTTTTGGCTTTTAAGAATGAGTTAGGAAGCTTCCCATCCTCTTTAATTTTTTGGAAGAGTTTGAGAAGGATAGGTTTTAAGTCTTCTTTGAATGTTTGGTAGAATTCACCAGGAAAGCCTGGGCTTTTACTTTTTGGGAGGTTTTTGATTACTGTTTCAATCTCCTTACTGGTGATTGGTCTATTCAAATTCTCTGTTTCTTCTTGATTTGGTTCTGGAAGGTTGTATGATTCTAAGAATTTATCCATTTCTTCTAGATTATCCACTGTGTTGGCGTATAGCTTTTCAGAGTATTCTCTTATAATCTTTTGCATTTCTGAGGTGTGTGCTGTAATTTCTCCTCTTTCATTTCTGATTTTATTTATCTGAGCCTCTCTCTTCTTTTCTTGGTGAGTCTAGCTAACAGTTTGTCAGTTTTGTTTATGTTTTCAAAAACTCAGCTCTTGGTTTCATTGATTTTTTTCTGTTGCTTTTTTAGTCTCTGTTTCATTCATTTCTGCCCTGCCCAATCATTCTCTTATGTCCAGTTTTCCTGCACCATTTCTGACAGACAATCAGGTCCTGTGTGTTTATGAATCAGCATGTAGAGAGGGGGAGACGGGACGGGGGGCAGCCACATTTGTTTGCTATTGGCTTCTCTTGACACCTCCCACTGCTTAAAAGGGCAGCTCATGTGTCTCTGAGCCAAATGGCCAGGATTCGCAGTCATGCCTCAAGTGAGGGGGCTCAGGTTTGAAAGAGGCAGTTTATTTTTTATAGGAAGCAAAAAGACCTCCTTTTGTGGTATAAAATCTTGGAAGTTTTAGGATTATTTTATTTTCCTATTTCTACAGGCAGCCTAATCCAAAAAGTATATTTTGTCTGAAGGGAAGATCAGAGTTATTTTCGTAGTTTCATACCTTCTGTGTGGAAGGTTCTAGGTTTTACAACAAAAAGAACAATGATGACAAATATACTGGATGAAGCTGCACGTTTGCACATGAGAAATTCCAGGCCAGCCCCGCTCTTCGCCTGTGGAGGCCTACCCTCAACCCTTGAGTGTCTCTCCCCGCCCCCCATCCCATCCACGCCCCAGGAAGTGCGCCTTAAAGAACAAGTAGAAAACACTAGGACAGGTTCAAGAGGGACCAGAGAAGAAAAGAGAAAGTTCTATACTTTATTATCTTGGAAGATCTTTTTGTCCTGCTTTTTGAACAAAGGGCCCTGCATTTTCATTTTGCATTTGACCCCACAAATTATGTAGCTGGCTGGGCCCAGGAACTTTTAAGAAAAGAGAATCTCCAGCTGCGTCCCAGATCTACTAAATCAGGATGTGTATTTCCAAGATTTCTAGGTACTTCACATGCACATTCAAGTTTGAGAAGCACTGATTTAGATGAGCGCTAGCTAACATGGCAGCCACTGGCCACATGTGGCTATTGAGCTCTTAAAATATGGCTGGTCCAAATTGAGATACACTGTAAGTGTAAAAGACACACCCAGTTTTGTTTTGTTTTGTTTTGTTTTTTGAGGAAGATTAGCCCTGAGCTAACTCCTGCCAGCCAGTCCTCCTCTTTTTGCTGAGGAAGCCTGGCCCTGAGCTAACATCCGTGCCCATCTTCCTCTACTTTATACGTGGGATGCCTACCACAGCATGGTGTGCCAAGTGGTGCCATGTCCGCACCCAGGATCCAAACCAGCGAACCCCGGGCTGCCGGGAAGCGGAACGTGCGAACTTAACGGCTGTGCCACCCGGCTGGCCCCAACACACCGGGTTTTGAAGACTTGGTATGAAAACAGAATGTAAAATAGCTCACCAATAACTTTCGTGTTGATTATTGTTGAAATGATAACACTTTGGATATATTAGGTTAAATAAATATATTATTAAATATAATTTTATGTGTCTCTTTTTGATTCTTTTAATGTGGAAGCTAGAGAAATTTACATTACATAGTGGCTTGCTCATGTTTGTGCCTCACACTATATTTGTGTTGGACAGCAGTGGTTAAATCCCTTTTTCTGCTTTTTTTTTTCCAGCTAAGCTTACCCATCCTCTGTCCCATTCTTTCAGGAGCAGGTTAGATGATTAACACAGTCATGCATTGCCTAAGGTTGGGGACACGTTCAGAGAAATGCATCAGAGTGTCCTTACACAAGCCTAGATGGTACAGCCTACCACACACCCAGGCTCTCTGGTACTAATCTTACAGGACCACCATCCTGTATGCTGTTGGTGGTTGACTGAAGGTCGTTATGTGGCACATGGCTGTGGGTTAAAATGGTAAACTAACTCTGTCTAAAGTGCTGGTGTCAGTCTAATGATTAAACATAGTACCATTCCTAGATAACACTGAGTTTTAACTGGGATCTTTTATACCTTATTCCATTGCAATGTTGTTTAAGTTCAGCTTACATCAGCATCCCCTGAAGGGCTTGTCAAAATGAGGATCAGATTGCTGAATCCTGCCCCCAGAGTGTCTGACTCAGTGTTTCTGAGGTGGGGCCCAAGAATTTCGTTTCTTACAGGTTCCCAGGTGATGCGTATGCTGCTGGTGTGGAACCTGCACCATGAGAACAACTGTTCTCGTGGCTCTCCACTCTGGCTACACATCAGAACTGCCTGGGCAACTTACAAAAAATTACCTGTGAGTGCCTCAGTGCCCCCTCCAGAGACTGTAGGTGAGTAGGTTTGGGAGGGGGCTTGGGGAATGAGAGTTTAAAAGCTCCTGGGTGACCCATGGTATCCCGCAGTGGGGTGGAGAATGAATGCCTTAATTCAAAAGCGGTAATAAGTGGGAATTCCAGGCGTTGGGACAGCCTTCCTTTTTCTTTTCCCTTTGAGGGTGCACAGAGCAAACCCTGTGTTCAGACTTCACCCTAACCTGACGGGACGTGTAGGCTGATTTGCATCATTCTAATTTGACCAGCGATGAAGCTGGAGTTGGGAGATCCGGTGATTCGCCCACATGACACAAGAAGATGGCAGGAGCTCCGTGCTCCCGCTTCCTCACCTCAAACATCCCGGTAGCCCCTGATGTGCTCGAAGGTCAAGACCTGGTTTCTCCCTTGTGTGGCCCAGTGTGGGGGGCACCTCTCAGTGGCTTTTGAGACACGAGGCTCCGTCTGTGCTGCGCAGACTTATGTGATTTATTTCGGGGAAGCCTGGCGTCAAAGAAAGTTACCATTGTCACTTGCAAGGCTGTGTGTGTCAAGAAGATGCATTCAGAAAATAATTTAATCTCTGGTGTTTGCTTTCAGCTGATGGGAAAAACATGAATGTGAATTCAGTTTAATAATGAATCAGCAGCTTAGCCAAGCCCGGACTGTGTCACTCACTTGATGTGTGACTCATGTGCTGTTGGGTTTCTGTTGTTGGAGGATGGATGGCTGCAACTCCTGCAGGTGTTGTATTTTCATCTTAATTTTTGAATACCACTGTTTACAGTTTATAAAAAATGAAAAGAAAATATAAATGGTGAATAATGAAATATCACACACTTATACACACATATATATCCCTCAAGACTTTGGCAGGGAGAAAGGCTGTAGTTTTTAAGGTTATAGCTGTAAGGTAGGTTATCTGTCTTGACTGGAATAATAATAAATATGTTTTGTTTCTTGAGAAATCTGATGGATGTCCCTGAGCCACCATCCCTAGGATGTGTATTTTGAGTTGCTTCTCAATAGTTTGAATGAGTTCAAATGATAGTCCATTTGTCCCTGATTTGTGGTCCCAGTGATCGGTTCCTGTGGTAAAAATTCACGAAGTGATTGGAACATTAGGAAAGTAAGCATTTTTTAGTTCAAATTCCTTAGGTTTATTTCCTGAGTTTTGGCTTAGATCACAGGGGTTAATTCTGAAAACTTAGGGATATTTTTACTCTTTTCTCTTCTCTATTAGATATACACAAATGAATTCCATGTTTCCTGGGCTCTAACTTAACCTCAGCCCTCGCTGTTGCCTCCTGTTCTTGTAGCAGAGGTCAGACAGACCCTCAGCCAGACACACTGGGGGCTCACATGGAGCTGCCCGCGGCTCTGCTCTTTGCAGCAACTACCATCTTTTACCTCATGATCGCTCACAACACATCAGGAGGATGTCTCTTCACAGACCAAATGGTAGGTTATTGGGTGGCAGAAATCAATCTTTTAAATCAGAGCATTCAGAGTCATATGCTGATAATTTTAGTAAGATCCCTTAAAATGACTAGGCATAGGTATTCTTTTCTTGTGGTAACCCATGACACAGAAGGTGTTTTAAAATACCTGACTTTTCCAAACACTAGTGATGCAGAGGAAACCACATTGATTTGGGAATTTAAAATAAGTGTTCTAAATGAAGTTATGCAAAAAATTTACCATCTCTAATGTAATGAGTAAACAAAATCTCTAAATAATACATAAAATTCTTTTTAACTCATAATATCCTCTCGACACACTGTTTCACAAACTTAATAAAAATTTTGGAAGTTCTTTGAATTTTATCCCCTTTTCCTTCCCCAAACTTCTATTGATGAAGATACTATTGATCAATAAAACATTTAAAAGGTCTCTAGTACGTAGGCAAAGAGCCTGTGAATCTTTTTAAAAAATGAACAGTTTAGAGTTTATCTGAAAGAATTGAGTGTGAAATACTTGGCAGACATCATCAAATCAACTCAATGTAAATATTTTGTGAATAACAGTAAGTCTGCTAAAACAATCTGGAAAATCTTTAAAATCTGTCTGACCTATATAGCTGTATACACAGGCAGATATCTAATTCTCCCAGAATGTTTTTTGGTATATTTGTCTTCTGGTCTATAGCTGCAAATAACAGAAACCCAATATAAACTCTTTAAAGCAGAAGAAGAGATGTTACTAGTCCAGGGTCCTGAGTTTGTTTTCGGAGCTCTGTCTGTCTCCATCCTGCTCCTCTTGACTTCTCTTGACATGTCATGGCCTCATTTTTATCTATTGTCGAAAGCTTCTTTCTTATGGTTAGGAAAGACGACCGTAGACAGCTCTAGATTTCATTTTTCTTACAACTTGCCACCCTAGAGGGAGGGAGACCCTTTTTTGTCCCACTTCTACAGAGGAAATCTCAGCAAAGACCCCATCTGATCTTGCTTGGGTCGCAGGTCCGTTCCTAAAGGCGCATGCTGGCCTTCCCCACTGGAGACTGGGAGACAGTGGGGTTAGCCTCATGGAAGCCACAAACTGTACTCCTTTTAGGAAAGATGTGTACTGTTACCAGAAGAAAAGCAAAAGGGGGCTGGACAGACAAACTGCAACAGATGTCCACTATTTGGCCATTTTATTATTGTTTTTCGTTTTTATAAGCTGTAAATTTAGTGGCAAATTGGTCTTGTCTATTTAATGATTTCTACATAGATTTTCAGGTGTATGAGCATGTCTGTGCACATTTTTGTTTTGTCTTGTCTTAAATATATGGTTGTGTTCTTTAAAGGAAAGTTCAGTTTTTACTGGGAAATGCATTTCCCTGTGTCCTGAACTCAGAATGTCCCTGGAGTTTGTCCTCAGCACTGCTTTTGAAGCTCTGAACCAAAAACGATTTGGTTAATAACCACATGAAAATGGGAAAGAAGGCAATGGAGATATGGTGTGCAAAGGGAGAAATAAATCCATCATTGGTTCCACAACACTGCTTTTACAAAAGTCCATAATGTGGGCAAACTGTTCTTCCCCACGACTGCGAAAGATTGAGATACGGGACTATCAGAAACACGTAAGCAATCTTAATGAACTCTATGCACATTTTTTATTTGACCTCAGGACATTCTGGGACTCTGGGATTCTGGGAAGGTACATTTCATAGGCAGAGCCTTAATGTGTTATGGGGGCTTCAGAAAAAGAACTATCCCAGCAATGGAGGTAGGAAAGCTCAGATGGGAGTCTGCAAGTGATTATGGGAACTCCTGGAGAACAGCCTGTCCTCTGAGAAAGCTGGCTGCTTTGCCAGACTGGAAGTGGCAAATGTGAAATGAAATGTAGTAGAGACCAAGAAAACCCACGGCATTTGTCTTGAAATAAAATAATAATAATAGAAATATCTCTCCCTGAAAATTCAAGTTAAACTTCATTTAACTCACATAAGCAATTAGAAAACCAGGCTCAACTACATGTCCTGAATGTATTTTTTAACCTCAAAAAGAAATATATGTGGAATATAAAAAATGGCATATGTAGCGTGCCCATGTGGCAGTGATGGAGGAGCCGTAGGACAATGGGGACGTGTAGGAAGGCTGGAGAGGTCATGATGCTTGTTCGTGACGGCGCCAAAGTGTGAACAAGAACTTATGCCAGGAACAAAACTTTAGGTTTTGTTATAAAACAATGAAAAACTTTTAAAGAAAGGCTGCAAGGGCAAGCCTAATAGTTTTTTTGATTTGTTTACATATTACAGTTCCCAAACTTTATGGTAACCTCAGTAGATTAACAGAAACTCCTTTGAGAAACAGTTCAGAGTACTGGTAGTAAATCCACATCAGCCATTTTCCATACAATAGAAGAAAATGTGGAAAATAGAGAAAAACAGACAAGATATTGAACCAGTGAGATTGTTCAAAACTCAGTGACATAAGATGTCTGTTCATCAGGATTTACTTCTGTGCTCGAGGGAAGAAAAATTGTTCCTCTCCAATTTAATTCTGATGGCTCTGCTCTGGACCCCATCTCCACTGAACTTCTCTGGAACATGGCTCCAACAGCTACTCCATGACAGAGCCTGCTAGGTGCCAACTCAACATCCATTTTCCTTATCTTCCTAAGTAAAAGAGCCAATTTTATTCTGGGAGGCAAGGCGCTCTATTAGAAGACTACAGTTCCTGGTCTATCTTGAGGTTGGAGAGAGTCAATGAGAGTAAATGACAGTCATGGAGTAGGGTTTCTGGGAAGCATTTAAAGAGGCTAAAATACCTGGGAGATGCCTTCTTGCCCTTCTCCTCTTTGTCTTTTCTCTTGGCTGGAACCTAGATGTGATAGTGGGAACTCCTGCAGTCACTTCTGGTGATTAGGGAAACTTGAAGATGGAAGCTATGGTGGTGATGGAGAAGCAGAAAAACGGAAGGGACCTGGGTCTCTGATGACCGTGGAGCAGCCGCACTGGCCCTGTCTCTGTCGATCACTCTGCAGCCCCAGGATGTACAACCACGTCAGTTATGTACCAGGTGCTGATTGACTTTTGCATGGATGAGTGCACAAATGAGGAGCGCTCCCTGGCTTCCTCCCATCGTCTGCAGCTGATTCAGCTCTATCCTGTGTATATGGTGAGGCTTTCCTCCCCAGTTCTACCAAACGCTCCTTCAGTTTCACTTTTGAGTCTTTTCTGTTCTGAGGCAGCCTTGACCTTCTCTACTTGACTGTCCTCTGATCCCTGGAAAACTCTACATTCCTGGAGTTTTATTTTCACCTAGATAGTGTCTAGTTTTAGGAAGAACAAGACTTCTTAGGAAAGGCCACTATAATTTGATTTATTTCTACAGGGGAGAAAAAAGTTAGGTGCTCTGGTCTTTAAAGCAACTTTCAGTATACGGATAGATTTATTTTTCAGACAACAGTGTCTGATTAGTTTTCATTTTCTGCTAAAGTAAAAATAAGAGGAAGAAGGAGTTGAAAATGAACCCAGTTATTCCACTCCCTCCAGTGGTAGAAGCATTTCACTGGGCTGTGATCTTGGGCTTACCCATGAGCTATTCTTCAGTGTGGGAGCGAAAGTGAAGCAGCCAATATTTCTCATCCGAACTGGGCACCTTGCTTGCTAGGTTGATTATAGGAAACTGGTTTCATTGGGCATTTTCATCAGGATGTTTCCGAAATGTTCTTTGAAGTCTGTAGCCATAATAAAAGCATTCGTATATTTCTTCAACAAATTCGTTAAGCTCCTCCTCCGACATGTGAGTCACTGGGTAAAGTGCAGAGCACAAGGTGGTGAACTAAACACACATGGTTCTTGCCTCATGGACCTTCCAGTCTACTGGGAGAGCCGTACACAAGATAATCAGGCATAGCACTTTTTAATTACAAATTGTGATAAATACTGTCAGAGAAAAGAACAGGCACCATCAAAGGGGAAAAGCAGGGAAATGCTTTATATGGGTCATCAGAGGAGGCCTTTGACATCTGAATCGAGACTTGAAAGATGAGAAAAATTTAGGCAGGAAAATGGTTGAGGGAAGTGTGTTCTTCACAGAGGGAAGAATGTCAGTGTGCTTGGCAGGGAGCAGCTTAAGAGCACTCGGGGAGCTCAGGGCTTCCCTGGGGTGCAGAGCGCTGGGAGGGAGCCTGCGGCAGTCAGATGGGCAGGGCGGAGCTGGGAGAGGTGGCAGGGCGGGGTCACACAGGGCTCAGCCTGGCGGGTTGTGTCAGTTATCATGGCCGTGTAACAACTACCTTCATATTGACAGCTTAACAGAACGATCATGTATTTGCTCATGATTCTGTAGCTCCACAATTTGGGCTGACTGTAGCTGGGCAGTTCTTCTGCTGGTCTTGCCTGGCTCACACGTACAGTTGCAGTCAGCTAGTGATGGTAATGTCTGGCCTAGTTCACATGTCTGGAGATTGGAGCCAGCTCTCGGCTAGGCCTCTGTCTCCAGGTGGTCTTTCATGCCCTTAGGAGGCTAACCCGGGCTTCTTGGCGTGACTATTTCAGGGCAGCAAGAAGGCAGGAGTAGATGGATACTGCAAAGCCTCTTGAGGTCTTCCTTGGAAGTTGTACAATGTCACTTCCACCGCATTCTATTGGTCAAAAAAGGCCAATAGAGGGGCTGGCCCAGTAGTGTAGTGGTTAAGTTTGCACATTCCACTTTGGCGGCCTGGGGTTCACCAGTTCGGATCCTGGGTGTGGACCTATGTACCAGTTCTCAAGCCATGCTGCGGCAGGTGTCCCACATATAAGGAGGAGGAAGATGAGCATGGATGTTGGCTCAGGGCCATCTTCCTCAGCAAGAAGAGGAGGATTGGTGGCAGATGTTAGCTCAGGGCTAATCTTCCTCAAAAAAAAAAAAAAAGCCAATAAATTCGAGATTTCAAGGCCAGTCTGGATTCAAGGTGTGGGAAAATAGATTGCACTTCCTGATGGGAGAGGCTGCAAAGAGTTTATGGCCTCTTTTAATCCCTTAGACATAGTAAGATGTTTGGGTGTTATTTTAAGTGTAAGGAAAAGCAATTACAGGCCTTGGAACAATGGTGTGATTTCATCTGGTTTATGTGCGATGTTAGCTCTTCCTCCACCCACCTCCATTCATGTCCCGGCTTTCGAGTGTAGCAAACCCAATACTGAGGGAAATGGGAAGGACTCAGGTCATAAACCATGGCTTTGACGGAATACATGACAGCTAAAAGCAAGGTCACCCTGGTGGGAGAGCCATGAAAGCTTGGAGGGTTGTGGATTACTCCACGTGGAACCTGGAGTCCTCTCCCTCTGGGGTGTCAGTCAAGAGGAGTTGTGGAGGGCAACAGGAAACTTCCTATAGCCACTTACGAGACGACTCAGCAGTCATCCATGTGTGCTGAAGAGCAAACAGTATGATGGCATCTCAGCAGAGGCCAGTGTGATACACGGACCAAAGTCAGTGCTCACGCCCCAACCTTCCTCCTACCTAGTTATCCAGAATTAGACACACCTCCAGAGGCAAGGGAGAAGGGACCCTTGAATTTGAAGGATAGAGTGGAGCTCTAAATAGAAATTGAGTTATATAAAATAAAAGAAGTTCTGTGTCTTAGACACACACGTTTGTGGCTGAAAATTGAACCTGCTATGTACATATGACAAACGTTTTTAAATAAACCTTTTATTGAATTATAATATGAATCTAGAGAAGTACATAAGTAAATCATAGAATAAAAATAAATAAATTTTCACAATGTGGACATATTCATATAATCGTTACCCAGATCAGGAAACAGAATATAATCAGCTCCCTCTCCTAATATAACCGCTGTCGTGACTTCCATGGCCATAAAGTAATTTGCCACTTTTCTTAGTTTATGTAAATGAAATTGTATAGTACGTACTCTTTTGTGTCTGGCTTCACTCAACTCTGTGAGAGCTCTCTATGTTGTTGAGTGCAGTTTGTGCCTTTCTATTACCCTTTGGTATTCCTTGTATGAATATATCACATTTTATGCAACCATTCCCATTCCGTTGTTGATGGATATTTGGGTTGTTTCCAATTTGGAGCTACTATGAGAAGGGTTGCTTCTTTACATGTTGTTTGGGAAGCGTACGTATACATTTCTCTTGTTTAAGTACCTGGGAGAGGAATTGCTGGATCACAGTATTTGTACACACGTAGCTTTAGTAGGTGTGGCGAATTTATTTGTCACTGTGGTTCTAGCAGTTAACACTCCTACAGCAATTAATGAGAATTCTAGTTGTTTTCACATACTATCACTTGATGTTGTCAGAGCTTTAAGTTTTAGCTGTGTTAGATGGTGTGCATGTGTTTTCTTATTGTGGTTTTAAGTTGCATTTCTGATGACTAATGTGCTTGAGTATCTTTTCATGTGTTAATAGGCTGTTTATTTTATTCTGCAGAGTGCTTGTTCAAGTCTTTTGCCCATTTTTTCGACCTGGTTGTCTTTCTTTACCTTATGGATTTATAGGAATTTGTTATATATTCTACACACGTCTACACCAACACACATGCACACGTATCTGTGGCTTGCTTTTTCACTGTCTTTAGTGCTATCATTAGACAGAGAGAAGTTCTTATTTGATTGTATTTCACTCGATCATTCTTTTCTCTTATCATCAGTGCTTTGTACATCTTCTTCAAGATTCTCTTGAGTGTCCTTGGCCCTTTGTATCTCCAAATATGTTTTATAATCAGCTTGTCAAATTCCATAAAAAGCCTGCTGGAGTCGGGATTGCCTTGAATCGAAATTTTAGGAATATCTCTCTTAAGAAGTCACATTTAGGCAGAGACCTAACGGATTAGAAGGAGCCTGTTAAGTTAAGGGGGGATGCAGTCGGTGGGGAGAATTTTTGAGGGCAAAGGGAATATAATGTGCAAAGGCCCAAAGTATAAAAAACTGATCAAAGTCAAGAAATTGCAAGGTGGCCTGTGTGGCAGAAGGAAAGAGACCGAGGTGAAGCTGGTGTCGGGGTCCAGGCCCAGATCCCACAGTCTTGAAGACCATGGTAAGGGGTTTGGATAAACAAGTGATCAGCAGGGACTTAGAGATTGTTGCTTTGGTTGCTTGTTATTAAAGGTTTGTTTTTTAAAAAAAGACTTGACTTTGACATTGATTCAACTTTTTAAAAAAATATGTGATTCAGTTTGAAAAGCCTTCAGAAATGCGCAAAGCTATAATTTGATTCTCTTTGACTAAAAACAAATGTATAATACAAGTTTCCTTAGATTCTTCCACTCAAACTCGGGCTGAATACATCCAGTGGTACTTTCTGAACCCATTTAGCTCCCATAATTCCCTGTGTTTAAACTCAGCACACTAAAACACTTTTATGAAAACTAGGCAAAATGTCCCCCGCATGACTCAGTACATGTTCACTTCATGTCTGCTTCATTCTTCTTTGTTCCCCTGGAAGAATCACAAAAGAGATGAGTCAACCATAAACGCAGGAGTGAGAATCTGTGTCCATTATCCTTGAGCCTCCCTGGAACACTTGGAGATGAGAAGGCTCATCAAAAGGCCTCTTCTTGTTTCAAGGGCAGCACTAACATTCACAATGACTATATGTTTTTGAATGCTTCAAAGAGTCTTTGCTATTTTCTAGAAAGAATGCGGCTGCCTTAGCAATTGCAACACCACTTCATGTATAAAGTGCTCTCCAAGTGGGTCCAAGCTGCCATACTTATCTTAAAATGGGCGACCTTTACAATAGCCCTTTATTCCAGAGTGATTACACATGGTGTTAGAAAGTAAATCCTTGTTACTTTGTCTTAATACTGTAAAAAGAATGCTATTCAATAAATAGTTGAGTAACTTCATGGACAAGTTACATTGTTAGATTCTTCTGAGGATGCAAAGATGACCAAAGATGAAAAATTAATAATAAAGACCTTATGTATTCCAGGCACTGGGGCGGGGGCGGGGGGAGGTGGTCCTATGGAAAATGATGTCAGGCACGGTGAGAGGAAATGGAAAAAGAAGACACAAGTAAGAGAGGATTTAACACCCACAAGTGAGCTATAAATAAAATAATGGTGGTAATCCTTGCTTATCCCAGCTCTGCTCGGCCTTGGCAGCCCTGGCCTCACCAACAGGTGTGGTCTGGAAGTGTTGTGTCACCTGATGTCCCTTACTGAGTAGGTTGGGGTCAGTTTCTTCGGAGCACATGGTTACTCCTGGATCTGGGCTCCACTCTGAATTCTGAGCCCTTCTTGGGGTCTAGCCCCTTTTCTGAGGGTATGACCATGCTACCCAAATCCTCAGTCACCTTCTGGGCTCTGTAACAAATAAGACAGCCCCCTAGGACTCCTGTGTTCCCGCCTGCTTGATTTCTCAATGCACTTCTCCCAAGGGGCTTTCCTCCTGCAGCTCCACTGCCAGGCATGGGGCCCCTTGGGAAGTGGTGCTGGCGTCTCCTCCGCGGGTTGCCCCGCTTTCTTGGACACTGATCTGGATGGTAAGCTTACTTCCATGCAGAGGGCCAGTCTGCCAGCTCTGTTTGTCACTTAACTCTAGACCCACCAAGTTCTAGTTCTCTTCCCATTCCTTAACTAGCCATTTCGAGGGCTCCTTCAATTTGTCCTCCCTACAATGGGCAATTATTCTGGATTTAGATTTGCCTTTTTGGCCTTTTAGGTTTCTGTCATAGATTGATAAAGTGCTTTCTATATATTCTTGGTGTTCCAAACAGCTTTGCCTTTGATCTGGGAATTCACTAGATAGAGAAAGACACGAGACAGATGTCTGTAAGGTTCACAGGTCTGGTCCACCAATCTCTCAGAGGTGCTTGGCTCAGAGAACAGTGAAGAAGCCTGCTGAGAACTTTGTTGAGACACCAGCTGGGAGATAGGATGGCGCCGAGTTACTGTTTGTCCTGCCGGGTGCCGTGGATGCTATGAATCAGCAAATAGCACATGGTGCTCTTCTTCTGGAACCGGAAGACACGGGTGTGTGTACAAGGGATTTAAATTGAAACGGTTCCTGACGTGGAGCTCCTGATGACACCCCACCTGCAAAAGGCTTTCTCTAATCTCTGTGACTCTGGGCTCAGCTGGTTTAGAGACATCAGGTCCCAGGGACATATGCGTCCACCAACAGTTTCCACTGAACTGAAAGCTGAGCCCTGTCTATCTGGGC